TGTATGTATGTATGTATGTATGTATGTATGTATGTATGTATGTATGTATGTATGTATGTATGTATGTATGTATGTATGTATGTATGTATATATATATATATGTTTGTATTATATTATATTGCGGCGCATACAAAAGGAAATTCAAACCCTCTGTATGCTTTTCCATCATTAAATTACAGTATTTTAAATCCCAAAAGTTATTAATAGAATATAAAAACTATTCTAATCTAAATGATGGACAACATTAATAAAAATTAGGGACAAAAATGTTCTATGAAGCAGTAGAAAGCTATTTTTTCCATTTTTACACAAATATGATAATACAAACTTTAATTAGTTTACAAAAAATGAGAGGCAATGTAAACAATACGAACCTGCAGTAAAAATATTGATGTTCTATATTCAATCGAGCTTCGAAAAAAAAAAACATCATTTAAAAAAACAGTATCCTGGAGTTCGGATTAAAACACTTAAGTAATCTCTTAAGGCTTTTATATTTACACTAAACTTTGATCAGCTGAGTTTTAGTTCATTTCTTTGGCGAGTTAATGTCATACAGTGCAATTAATTTAGTTAAAATTCATAAAGTTCATATTCTGTGTATTTAAAAAAAACAAAGTCTAGAAAAGCTTAATATTCAGTCAGAATCAGGAATACGTTTTAAGGCAAACTGTTGTTGAAAGTATCTTCATACTCCTTTTGCAAGAGAGGTTGCCCCTGTTGGGCAATTACTCAGCAACAATGTGAGCTAATCAAGTAATAAATGAATCCAACATGCAAGACAATCATTCTTTATATGTACATCCATGGAAACAACGCACTCCATTAGTTAATTTCCTACACTCACACACACAGACACACACACACAGACACACACACATCCACACACAGCGACTTAGTCAGCAGTTCTTGGCTCTTCGTTGGACTTGTTCATAAGGCTGAGCAGGTTCTGTGACATAAAATACGGCCTCTCAGCGGATCCATCGTTGCGCTCCAGGTCCTCCACTATGACATGAACAGAGACAGTTAAGGGAGTATTTTCCCACCACTAAACTGTAGTTTAAGTAACTCTTAGTTTTATCTTTCAGCTAAAGATGAACAATGCTTTGTCAAGTAAATCGAAGGTGTAGAAATAGACCATAGGAGTGTCCTGGGGACATTTTGATGGAAAGAATTGTTTATTTAATCTGGTTGTTCTTTCATTATGTCTTAGTTTGAAATATTCACAAATCACGACTGCACAAACTCAAGAATCCGTGACTAGGGTTCATAAGTGTACACCAAATTTTCAGGGACCAAAAGCCACAAAAAACGACAGTTATTAAGTTAATGACTTTGTTCAACTATTGGAAGGCAAAAATCTCACCTCTTTTGATCTGAAAACTCACCTGCTTTCAAACACTAAAGCATCTTGAAAAACACACCTGTACTCGTAACAGAGCTGCAGTGACTAAATACAATCCCCTTTAATTGTGATTTTCATCCATTAACTATTGAATGTCATCATAACTTCAGTGGGAAATTATTTTACATCTTACACAAGGTGGCAGACAGGAAAAAAGAAGTACAAAAGCATCCGAGGACTTCAGATGTTAGATGCGAGCATTCAGAAGGCCATGTCCAGAACATGCAGCACTTAGACGGAGAGACAGATTTAGGGGAAGGACAGAGCAAAAAGGCAAGTGGAGTCTGTAAACAAGTGGAGAGTCCGCTGATTACGGTCATGATGTCTGCATCACGGCCACACAATCACTGCACTTACGCCGGTTTGAAATACCAAGGCAAACAGGTGGCGATACCAACACTGGATCCCATCCCGGGGAGGATCTCAACAAAACCGAAGCCAAAAACGACGTAATAAACTCACAACGCATTATATACACTAGTTCAGTAGGCAAAAAAAGACCCAGTGTCCATATTGTATATCAAACGAGTCTGAAACATTTTGGCGTCAGCTGGTATGTTGTAAACAGTGAAAGGAGTTCACCATTGATTGAGACGTTTGTTGTCACTGTAAACAGGGTTCTTAAGTGGTTCTGTAGTGCATCCGGTAATTGGACTATGACAACAAACACTGACAGTAATCAGGCACAGGTTGAGCACTCACTATGTTCTACAGATCTACACGATATAAAAAAACCTACACTGTTCTAAATCCAACACAAAGGAGCTTTTTTTTGTTTTGTTTTTCCAAGCTACAGAGATGCACTGGGCTTTTTTAAACCTGCTTCAGCCTTCTGCAGGCGGACGTCACTCCACTCTAACGCGTATGCCGGACATTTAACGGGTCAGTGTCACGTAGCTGTAGGTACACATCGACTCTTTAGGTTTTCGGGAGGTTCGCCGAGCCTCCACCGTTTACTCCTGTGGAGCCGGGGGAGGATCGTCTCCCTTGGACTCCTCGCTTTCATCCTTCTTTTCAGGAATCTGCTCCTTCTCAACCTCATCAACAGCAGCTTGAGCAGCTGGAGCAGCTGGGACCTCCTCTGTCTTTTCCTCTGGGTTCGACTCCTGCTTTTCTGCTGCTTCTTTCACCTCAGGTTCTTCTTTCTTCTCAGTCTCCTCCTCCTGGCTGACTTTTTGTTCCTCCGTCTTCTCCTCCGTCGACTCCTCGGCCTCCGCCTTGGACTGCAGGGGGACCGCTTCCTCGTTGTCCTGCTTTAAGATCGTCTGCTGCTTCAGCTCGATCTCTCCGTCCTCCTGCTGCTGCAGAGGCGTTTCCTCCTCCACTTTCTCCTTGTCCTCTGGTTTCTCGGCGTCCGCCTGCTCCACGCCGTCGCACTCTTCCTCCGCCCTCACCGCCTTGGAGAGGATCTCGTGCAGCTCGGGGGACATGAAGTACGGCCTCTCGGCAGAACCGTCATTTCTTTCCAAGTCCTCACCTTTTAAAAGTGTGTTGGCATGCAGTGTTTTGGGTTTTGGGTCAACAGAATCAAACAGGAAAACGTAAAAGAGAAGGGAAGGCGGGAAAATGATAGTAAAGTGGAATTAATGGGAGACATGAGACAAATAGAAGAAGAGTCAGAAACACGTCAGGAAGAAGAGGAAAACCAGCAGCTCCGCTTTAGAACAGTTTGAGCCAAAAAGAGATATCGGGTGATCCACTAGGATAAGAAATTACTCACAGAAGCAGAGGAACAATGTGTCCACACACATGCCGTACACGCTGAAGAAGCCGTGGGCAATCATGTAGGAGCCCACTACCACAGTCTAGGAGGAAAAGTTACCAAATTCATCACTTCATCAAAAATCCAATGCTCATAATGAGGATCAGATCGCATAAATAGAGCCGTTCCTACCATTATAGGCACCCAATAGTAGTTGAGTGATGGTGGCGCAGCCTCCTGAATAGCATTTATTCTTCCAGAGAAGAAGAAGAAAGAGAAAATCCCTGGACAAAGAAAAAATACAGTTCAGTTTACATGAAAAAAGAAACTCTCACAGATCTGTCCCTCGGGTCTGGATCTATGAATAAAAAGCTTCCCTTACCCACAATGCCAACGATAAGGAGCTTCCCAAGAAACAGCAGGAAGTCAGTCACTTTGTCCAAAACAGCCACCCTGTCATTTAAAAATATAGATGGAAATGTAACAAAGCACAGAGTTTGTCACTTTAAACCAGTAGAAGCTTAAATGAATTAATAAAAACTGAAGCCGACATATAAAAATAGCATGAATATAAAAATAAAGAGGGGTAATTCGAGGTTTCCGCACAGTACTGTTAAGTTATCGAATGATGATTCTTCGTAATGAAATCTCACCTCAAAATGTTCCTCATGAGAAGAAAGAAAGCATCTCGTGCAGAGGTGCAGAAATTCTTTCCATAGATGGCGATCTGAAGATAAAAATCAGAAAAAGAGGATCACACCACATGCACAAACCCGCTCTCTTAGTCAGCTTTATCCAGTTACAGAAGAGCTCACCATGATGTAGGCGTTTCTGTTCAGGAACTTAATACATTTCTCCAGGCACCAGAAGCAGCACTTCAGGCACTTCAGCAGAAACTTTGCAAACTTGTTCTGAGCACCTAAACGCCACAAGAGATAAGAAAAAACATTATAATAACAGGATTTGCTGTGGTTCAGGCCAGGCAAGGGTTACCTGCACTTCTAGTTATGTGCTAACCCACTAAACCAAGTATCTTTATATATATTTGTGAATAATGGAAAGGGATTCAAACACGCAACCTTTCAACTTGTGATCCAGATATTCGAGAATAACCCTGATAACTTGGACCAAAGCCAGAATCAGAGAGCCAAATGCCAGGGAGCCGGTGTGATATCTACACGGGAGGAAGAGAAAGAGGCCAACTGAGAGCATTAGTCATATTTTCCCGGTCACATAGCCAAAGCCCACCTGCTGACCTAACATTTGCCTTCTTGGAAAGCACTGGAGTACATAACCTATTCATCCAAAATGCAGTTTAAACTATAAATTACTCACTTGTGCAACCAATTGAACTCTAAGGAATTCTGAAAAACAGCCGTAAACTCTAACCTGAGGGCGCGTCCCAGAGAGGCGAAAATAGGAAAAGCTGGGATGTCATTTGGCTTCTTGAAGGCCCAGTAATACGATGCAAACGCCCCGGCCAGAGTAACCTGGCCCAGGGCCGTCACAAAGTTGGCGCACCAGAAGAAGAGGAAGATATTGTAAAACTGAAACACGATGAGGTATTTGTGGTAAAGCGTCTCTCCGCCGTAGAAAGCAAAGAGGCACTCCGCATCTGGACATTCAGCCGAAATATTAGTAGAGTTGAATGTCTGGGGAGGGGAAGAGAGAGGCAGGTTACTCCAGCACAATCAGAATTCCAGTGCCCTCTTCTATATATGTACACCATTTCCTCCCAGAAAGGAAAAACAAAACCATTTGAAAGGGTACCTTCGGATCGCAGTTGAGTCGTGAGTACGGACAGTCAGAGTTGTTGAACACTTTGTATATCTGGTCATTGGACGTAGCCAAGAAACTGGTCAGAGCTGTCAAGGTAAGTGCATCTTTGAAAAGGTCACCATCACAAGTGGATAACGGAGGTAATGATACACCGCAGCCCGTCCGCCTCGTGGCAAAATAACGAAAGGATACACGGCTGTAATGGCCCAGTAGGCGATGACCACGGCCAGAAGGAGGAAGGTCAGCACGGGGTAGAAGAGCGAGGAGATCACATGGCCGATGGCTCTGAGAAAAGAAACACCATGTTAAACAGTTTTATGGTTTGTCTCCTATTGTTAGTAACTGAGGTAGTGAAAAAAAAGCAAGTGATATTTTTCCAAAAATGTGCACAACGAGAGAACAGGACAAATTCTAGCATTTTCAGTCAGGTGTATTTTCAATTTCTTCAACGTTTTGAATGACTTTATCCTGCTTTATCCATGCTCACTGTGCACACCTTCTGGACGACTGATCCCTTGGGATCAATAAATATTAATTTATTTCTGTCTGTATGTAATGAGTGGAGTCTCTCCATAATCAATAATTAACTCTGAAGCTACAATACGTTCCACTGTATCTTTATGAGACCAATGCAACTGAACTAAAACGATAACCGTCTGTGTTTAAATAATGACGGGAAAGACTGAAAAACTTCACAGCTCTAAAGAAAGCTGTGTTTTTTCGCACTCAGTAAACATAACACGTAACCAGCTTTCAAACTGTAAAGGTAGATCTGGTCTCTGGTCTGTGAGCTCCTGCTCCACTTCTCCAGAATAAACGATCGGGTCAAACTGACCTGCTGGCCTCTTTGATGAGAGCGATGGCGATCAGGATCCTCTTCCTGAGGAAGATGAGCAGGAGGATGATGACGACTTCCACAACGGCCAATATGATCACTGCAAAAGAGGGAAACGAGCACATTCGTGTGATCTATATACACCGAGTTTGGGGAGGTGCTAGACGGGGGTTTGTCCTTACTGAAGGCCAGCCAGGTCTGTCGGATCTGCAGGTAGACGGAGAAGTCCGTCTGCAGGCCGAGGTCCCGGATGGTGACGTTTGCACCAGGCTCGCCTTTCAGGCTGGAAAACTCCATGTAGCAGTGGAAAATCCCTGCAAAAAACAGTTAGCTTAGTTCAACAAACGTAATCGTAACAGTTTAATATGACAAGCCAGAGGACACAGGCTTACCGTATCCGATGACAAGAATAACCAAAATGATCATGACCCAGACCATGACTCCAGCCAAGTATCGCAGCAGAACGATGAAAATCAAGCTAACAACCATGGCGATCACCAAACCACTGCAAAAAGAGGACAAAAGCAGCATGTTACGACCTCACTGAGTGTAACCGAGCTCAGATTTCCCAGTTAGCTGAAGGCAATCTAAATTACTAGACAAAACAGGGGATTATCTTCAATTCTCTTCTACTGTAACAGTGAGGTTGAATTACGCTAATATCCAGGGCCAAGACCGAGTGTAGTCCTCAAAGATTCTCATAGCGATCTGACGAGCTTCAACAGCCATGTTTGACATCCTAAAACACAACAAACAAACAAACAAACATTAGACCCTTAAAACCTAGCTTCATATTTGTGGATAGCAGTAAAGTGTGAACCCCAGGAATGACTTAAATTGCTACTCATGTGCTAACATCTAAATTAAACTCAAATTCAATTATCAATTATCTCTATTAGCTAATGAAATTATTTAAAAAAAAAAATTTTTAAGAACTGTGACAACCAGAGATTTACTTTTTTTTCAAATAGAATAATTAGATCTTGTGACCCTACTAGTTATCCATAGATAACTGATGGATGTTGAATAAACCACAAATTAACAAATTGAAGTATCAGTACCTGAGTTTTCAACTCATATTCTATCTAATGACCAGCGGGGCGGGACTGAACTTTTAAAAAAAGCATTTTTTTCATTTGAGCTTGTGATTTGAACTAGCTGTTGACATCTTATAATAATGTTTAATCCTGCAATTTGAGATAAGTGTCTATTTTAATTAAAATTACAATGCAACTTTGACAATGAATGCATTTTATGTTCAAATCATATTCCACTCCATTCAAATTTTTAAAGAGCTGTCAATCAACTAATTTGATAGCAATCTCATTAAAATGAGTTCATATTTTTTAGGAATATGTTTAAAGACATTATTTTAAAACAACGCATTCTAATATGGAGTAAAAAGAATATATACTATTTTTTGAAGAGGAAAATGATATGTTGAATAACGGTCTCACTTTGATGCCTCCAGCACCTCGGAGGCGTTGACCATGACTCCTTCTCCGTCGTCAAAAACGGTCTCGTTGCCCACCACCACCACCCCACCATTCAGGGTTCCCAGGTCCGGGAGGCAGCGGCGCGTGACTGAGGAGAGAGTACTTTTATTTTTTTCAGTTTCTGACAGGAAACGCACCCATTGACAGCAGCATGAAGGAGAAAACATAATCTGAGTTAAAGCAGTTCCTATCTTACATGGTTTACTCGGCATCAGCATGGCAGGACAAAGGCCGTCTTTCAGGATCTCAGGAGGGCTCTGAATCACATAAAACAGCATCAAATGAAGTCTCACATCGCACACTGCAGCCGCATCAGTCTAAGCTTGTGCACAATGCGGATACTGTCTCATTTTTTAAATGTTTACCAGCGCGGTGAAGTCAGTTCCCTCCCTGCAGTATCTTTTGTAGTACTCATGGTCTTCTTTGGTGCCCAGCTTGGCCTTCACCAACGTCAGATACTTGTTAGGACACTTCTCCACACAGAGCTGCAAACCAAGAGCAACAGACCGTTAGGACATTGTTAGAATTGGGCTAAAGTTACTCACTTTGCATTGGCATTTGGCACATAATCCATGTCAATTACTGATTGTCTTATTCCTTTTAGAACTATAAACTCAGATTCTCCTACTCTCTCTGTTACAGTAGACACACATCATCAAAGTCAACATCCACACATACATTATATCTCATCATGTAAGGTTATATGATGTTATCACGTTCCAATGAAATCTGCATGAATTAGGAGCAGGCCTGTTCATGTCAGAGCTAACGGGCCAATAATACTCCGGCAGGCCCGGTCCAGAAGATAAACGTCCATCACACCTGGATTTCGGGGCTCTTGCCAACTGAGATCCTCCAGGAACTTTGTCTGTGAGAGCCCAGCGCTGATTAACTTTTCTTGTGACCAATAAATGTCATATTTGAACTGTGGATATGCTCTGGTTTATTATCAGGCTTCCAACTAAAGAATCGGACTTAGAACATTCAGACATCACACGGTTGTTCGATCTGAGGAAGGTGCTGCAGACGTGTTTCCTGACCTGTGTGGTGGGACACTGGAACTCCAGCAGGACCAGAGGACTGGCACATTTCAGGATGTTGAAGTAGAAAAGCAGAGGCTTCTTTCTGTTGTGTGGAGGTGACACATGGTGTTTCATAGATAAATAATAATTGCATAAAGCCATGTACATTTCTGGATTTAGGTAACTTACGCAAGAGGAGTTCCAGCCTGTCCACAGAACTGCCCCCTACTGTCTGTGGGATAAATCACTTTTCTGGGGTCACCCTGAGACCAGGCTGCAGATATAAAAAAAATATTGGGATTTTTCTGAGAATACATCAAGTAATTGTTATTCTACAGAAATAGTAATACTTTAAATTAAATTAAAAATGAAATCAGGTAAGTTCCTTGTGAAAAAATCATTCTATTCACTGTTTTTATGACAGTTGTTATCCACTAATAAATAGTAATACACACTGTTCTGAACATCTGCAGTGAATGCCCAAACATTATGGCAGGCGCCAGACGGAGCTCAGAAGTATGATTATCTTGTAGAGCAGCATCTGGGAAGTACTGATCCATTTATTCCCATGATGAGAATTGCATCCAACCACTCACATATGTTTCAAACTGTACGCTGTAGCTTCTCCCCTCAGTACACCGTGTTATCAGTGTGAAGCGAAATGCTCATCAGCACTCAAACAGAGTTTACCATAATCATTTAGAGTGATGTCGCTTGTACACTGCCAACTTAAAAAAAAAAAGCACTAAAATCTGAGTCATTAGCAGGTTACAGCAAGATAAAGAATGCAAGAACTCCTGCAAAATGGCCAGAAGAGCTGGAACCGCTGTTTTTCATTACAGTTCTTTACTGTGTCTTTACAATACTGTAAGGATTTGCTGCTAATGTCTCTAAACACGGCCACCCTCTGAGACTGGGGGGGCGTTATGTTTGAGCTAATTTGAGAGGAGAAATAGGATAAATGCCACATCACAAAAGAGGTGGTCATTATGTTTGTGCCATAATAATCTAAGGTGGTCTAAGGTAGCTGGATCTAAGATAAAATCCTGCTAAGGATAAGAGAAACATATGGTGAATATATCATATTATGGTTATGAGAAAAGAAAAGGAAGCCCATGTCTATGTGATTAAGATTGAATCTTACCAAGGATTCCCACGCCAAAGTACCCAACCAAGGCCACAGTAAAGAGAAGGCAGCAGAGGATATCCGTGCAGCCCCTGGAGGTGGGAGAGCAGACACACAATAACGCCGCTGATTTCCCCAAAAGTGACACAAAACAGACAATAAAACTGTGAGTTTTACCTGTTGTGGATTGGCCCTTTAAAGTTTGGGTCGAACTTCCGGGCCTCCCCTGTGAAGAAAAGAGAGGAAGGCCTGGTTAATGTTTCTAATAAAAGAATTTTACTTTTAATCTGGTTAGATGAAAGGACACCCAGTAGAGTGACTTCAATACACTCGTTTCAACCCTTTTATCGACCGCATCCCATTTGAGTCATGACCTCCATATATCTCACCACAAGTCGTTATTTAAAAAAAAACATGGTATGCACTTTGACTATTGTTCAAAGGAGGGATCTGCATACCACATTTAGACGAGTAATTTTACAAACACCATGTGAGAAATGTGGGTTGTGGGTTGCAAATTATTCTCACATTAGGAATAACTAAATGATCTTAAGGATAATATCCATTAATCAGCCATTAGAGAATTTAAGATTAAACCAATTTGTTTATTCTGTTGGAGTGGAAAAAGAGATTTTTAGAACTGAATTTTTAAAAAGACGCAATAGTGTGATCATAAAGATGCTTGGATCAAACAGCATCAATGTGTGATAAAAAAAGAAGTGAAGGAGCATGGATCTTTTCAGCTTCATGAGGACATGATGCTCATACTGTTCAACTTTATGATAAAATGAGTACTTAAGGGTTTTACATCAAAGACACTGAAATGAACTAGTCCACTAAAATAACGTACGGCGCACATGTATGTTTATACAGATTAAAATGTAAAAGATAAGTGTTTGGTTACAGGACTATTTGCTGCTGTATCATTGGACACATTTTAATGTCTCAACAGATTTCTTTCAGTCAGCTGTCTAATTATGTTGTGGTTAAAACACATAACCACCAGATTCCTTTGACTGGGGCCTTTGTTGTTCAGCATTTTCTTTTAGCTTAATGAAACCAAAAGGAAAAGCAAAACAGAGAAATGAATGCAGTCATAACTTTTTATTGTTTTTTGGTGAATACCGAATGATACAAAGCAATGTGAAATGCATTCAATTAATTTCACTATTTCATGATGCAATTTTTCTATCGCAACAAATGATGTCATTTTAGGGAGTACATTTCCTTCACAGATCATTTAAAGTGCGCACGTTCTGACAGTGCACAGTTTGCTGTTTATTTAAGGGTCAGACCGAGTCTGAGCGCAGCGTTCAGCAGAACAAAAGGATTCGTCTGCCTGACTGTGGTGCCCGGCAACCTACAAAATGGCTCCCTGGTGACGGTAGACGCTCCCGGCGGGCATCACCAGCCACCATGGAAACGCTTCAGACATGGCAGAGGAGAGATATCATCCAAAGCCACAGTGAGATCGATGTGAGCTCAACACAGTGAAACGCGCCTTTAAATGTGTCTCAGGGGGAAAAAATCCAAAATCGTTTTAAAAGACGTCTTAGTCTATGAGCTGATGCACATCCTGACTCACTACTGTCTGCCACGCCCTTCACAGCAACTGAGAAGTAGCTGTGACAACACAATGCTGCACACTGATGACACTCTCCAACACACACACACATACACACACACACACAAAATCAAATGATAAACAAACACTTCATTCACACGCAGAGCGCACAGAACTGAAATGCTTCATTTAGCTGGAAACCCATCTGACTGTGGCACTTAAAGGCATCCTGACCATCCTTACCTAAAACTATTGTCCACTTTTCACAATCTGATAGTCCTGAGTCATGTGAGCGAGTGAGAAAGAATGGAAACTGGAATTACCTTCATTTTTTGTCATTCTGTCGTCGTTTCTGCTTTTCTCAGAGGCCGTTTTATCAATTCCACGGAGGGAGCTGTCTATCTTGGCTGTTTCTTTACGTCTCCTTCCTGTACACTGTCTGTGTGTCTCCACTTCCTTCTTTTTCTGTTGTCAATTCTCTGCCTTCCTGCACTATTCAACCTCTGTCTGGTCTCTTTCTAGGCCCAAAAACCTGTAAACGCAGTTTTCAAAAGGTAGTGGTAGGAGAAACACTGAGAGAGAACCTGCAAAAATAAACTTCTGAAAGACTTCAGATGGTTGGCTGTTGCTAAAGTTTCTCAACCACCACAAACAGTGGTTGTGGCCGTGGTTGGTGCTCTGTTATGAAACCAAAACAGTTTCAAGCGGCAGCATTAGAACACTGCCTCAACATTTTCAATTGTGCATCTTCAAATGTAAAATCTATTTCACAAAGACCACAGAAGCAACTTTTAACTGCAGCTTTAAAACATCTAATAAAAAAGTTTGCACAACAGATAGAATGATTATCTTTTTAAGATAATCAACCATCTCTCATGTATCACATTCTCAATTGCATTCTTCAATTCATCACAGGGTTTTCAAATTTTAGTTATTTCAGCAGTGTCCATGGTGCACTTTTTTTTTCAATTTGTCAAAGCCTGGAGGAGGAATCTGCGGGCAGGTGAAGGTGTCCATAAAGAATACATCAATGAGAAAGACACAGAGCATTTGCAGACGTGGTATACTGGATTCTGTCAAATCAAAGAGGTGTTATGTTAATACAAAAAAAAGAGGAAATTGGTTTAAAAAAACAAGAAATGTTTTAAAAACCCACCAAAAATCACCCTGTGACTGTAAATATGCTTTAGCTGAAAACCAGGAGTTTGTTTGCTGAGTACTAGAAAAAACTTGAAGCTCTGCAGAGTGGCATGCAGGAAGTGAAACCCGAGGCTCCCACAGCCTGTGTGTTATATGAATATAAAAAGATGCATGTTGACTCAAACGTCCTCACGCATGAACGTCAGCACGTTAAATAAAACATGGTGGCGGAACAGCTTCAGTTTATGTCAGATTTCTGAACCTCTGTGTTCAATATATCTGTGATCAACTGAATCAAATGCAAAATATGTCCGTCTACAAGTATTTTTTAATCAAGAAAGAACATTAGCAACTTTCGTGTCTCGAAAGGCACATTTCAAAACACGATGAATAGTTTTGGCAGTGATATCAGTTGCGTCTTAGAAAATATTATTCCAGATTATCTGGAGCGCAGACCAATTATAAGGCAAACTTATGATATATGTCTTATAGATCTATGCAAACCTCAGCAACTGAGAGAATTTTAAATCAAGAAAATCCTCATTATTCGTAGTTGTGACAGAGCCTGGGAGAGACATATTCAGGTTTAAACTATCTAATGCACAGCTGATATTGTATTCATTCACTAGAGAGTTTTTTTCCACCCTTTTTACAATGTAAAAATTGTCCAGGAGGACCTTAACCATATGTGTCCAACAAATATTTAATATGTTTCAACAGCTTTGCACATAGAGTTATTTGAGTTCTCTATAACACATATGTGGAAGATTTTTCAATCATCCTGGGACTCTAATTCATTTCAGCTCTGCCTGAAATCCAGACAACAGATGAGTTTGCCTGAGTCCATAATGTCTTTGTTTCCTGTGTGGTCTCTTAAAGCTCTCCTGGAGCCACTGATCACTGATTCCAGACGTTTCGATGGGGACATGGTCATTTAAATTAGATTTAAAAGATTAATTTGGGTTTGTGGGAATTTACAATTTATCTGTCCTGTCTGCCTTGGCTTTGGATAAAACTATCAACACAGATTGGTCTCTTAAGCCGTGTTTTCAGGTGGAATCATCACGCCAGAGTTTGTTTTATGATATCCATTGTAGTAATGAAACATCTATCTCTTAGAGCCATAAAACTAAGCCCTGATAGTCTTTTGAATTCTTCTAAGGGAGAAGGCAAGCTGCACAGAGCTGTAGGTTTAACCTAGAGTTGATCGTAGCCTAAATGTTGTGGAATATTGTCTGTGGTTGAAGAAGAGCACGATAATACAGCACACATGTTAACTGTGTGGTTTTTTTATGCCCTGCAGCTGCAGGGCATAAAAAACACAAAAACACATTACCAAAAAGTCGAAACTTTTGAGGTTAGAAATGGGAAGCAAAATAAAAAGAAAGATAAAGCAGAAAGAAACACTGAGTTTTGCCTTTTTTTCCCTTCAGATTAGCAGCCTTCTTCAAATGTCTGGTTGTGAACTTTAAATGGCATCTCTGGGTCCTCTCTCACACAAACAATGGACAAAGACTTTTTCAAATAGTTTAAAGCATTGTTATAACAATGATTTGGTTATGAAGTGTCGTGTGAGTTGGACAGATGAGTGAGCAGAACTGGACATGTGAGATTAGGCCATCCTACGTGTTCTCTGGTGGACACGGCCACCTCTGCTAGCATGTGACAGAGAAACGGGATGCCGGAGTATGAAATACAATCCTTTCTATTGATCTCATCTGTCACAAAGACTGACCAATGTCTGTAGATACAAATCAGCCTGGTTCTCCTTAAGTCGCCTGCACGCAACAGATACTGGAATTCTGAAAACAAGATATAGCCAGAATAGCGTTTGGGGCATGACACAATTAATGGCACAGAAATTTTTCAGAAAAAGCTGTGGTCACCTTAAGTTCTATTATCATAGATTAAATTAAAGGGAAAAGCTCATAGTTAGCATGTTCATTTGGATTCTTCCCCCATGGTAGTTTCATATGTTTTGCCTTAAAACATTAGTTCCCATTTCTAATCAAACACTTTCAGTCGTAAACCAAACATTTATGTACATTTACCAAACGTCTAGACTTAATAACTATTAAATAAAAAACTAGACAAATTCCAGATTTTGCAACCCAAATATAGGAATTTTGATCAATCAGTATCACGGTTTGTCAGTTTTAATAGCAGTGCATAAATGCACACAGCAACGTTTAGCAACCCTAGCACATTCCTTCCAACACGAGAGGGTTTCGCCATATTTTATTATAAAAAAAACGGCCGCCGCGTCACCACTGCACAGCCTGTTGTGTTTAACTTACAGCATATTTACAGTCATTTATGGCTGCAATTTTATATCAGAGAGGATGAGTAGATTTGAAATGATTTAACACCAAAATGTAGCATCATCGTCTGACAACAGAAAACAGCAGTTTTTGGGGAATCTGCTCTGTTCATATATATGATAGCTCAGTTGAAGGGGAAAACATAGATGAGATCAAAACAATGCCAAGGAGCCCATGACATCATGCAGTGACATTCAAGGACTTTTTTTTTATCAGGCATTAGCTACATTCCACTGTGGACACGCTCCTTTGGAGCCAAAGGAACAGGCTCCTCTTTGCCTTCTGTGTGACATCAAATAAAAAGAAAAAAAACACCAATCAAACTAATTTGCACTTATTATTCTGTACAAACAATTATCTGGTATAAGTCATATTTCTTATTTCTGGAACTGGTAAGCGTAAACATTTAAATCCTTCTGTGAGTGTAAACTCTGTGATTTCATTAATTCTTACTGGGGCAGCTTAGTGTCCTCTCGTAGCCCAAAAGATTCAGGTTCATATCTAATTAAACACGTCTGCCAATACTTGGAAGTTTTAGCTATATTCAATTTCTCAGTCTCAGCATCCCAGAATCTCAAATGGATCTTTTTATGGAGAATGAATGGTGAGACTGGAAAAACTGTGCATATGAGTGTGTGCATGGTATACTGTGTTAAAGGGAGTGGTGATGTCAGGATTGATGCGGATCTCTAATGGGCCCTGAGGGCTTATCAGATGAACCCCTTCCTGTCTACCTTAATGGATTAGTGGCTGCTGCTGTCGGGCACATCTGTGTGTGAGCGCATGGACTGCACATATGAGAACACTTTTAGTCCTTCCTCCTTACACTTTATCTTTTTTGAGAACGGAGACAAAGATTATTAATTCATGAACCATGATTATTAGGACTGACTCACAAGAGCAGCCGTGTACTACAAATCTTCTACGGTGATGTGCCAAAAAAGGTGTAACAGCCTCAAAAACCTGATTTTATAGCCGGTGTTGAGGTACATTTTCTTTTTACAAAGAAAAGGAGGAAACTTATTATAATGTTCTACAAAGCTGAGAGCTACTGGGTCAGATCACAGCCTCAGAATATCTGTCACTGTGTCTAATAGAGTCAAATAACAATAGTGTTATCCATTTTCTCAACTAAAGAAATCAGTAAATGATCACTGGTAAACATTTAAAGTTTTCTTTTTTTTTGGTCTGTGCATGTGTCCAAAATGAGTGTTTGTCTGTGTAATATTCACTGGAGGCTTCTTGAGTGTGTCTGTGCGTGGCTGAACAGAGTCTGGGCGGTGCAGGCTGCAGCCTGCCTGCATGCAGGAACACCAGCCCGGAGAGACGGAAAATGAAGCAACTGAAGTCTATTCACAGCTCAAACTCTGCTCTTAAGTACTGCTTAAGACCACTGGAGACATTGCTCAGAGCTTGGAACATTTAAGGGATTGGCCTTAAAACCTTTAGCTCGTCACTTAATAGTTGCAAAATATGAAGGTTGGTAAAAGGAAAATGTATTCAAAGACACCGGATACAGGGTTGAAGCTTCTTAAAATGTATAGTATAACATACCATAACAGCAAAAATCTTTTACCAAAAAAAAGATCTTGAATCAATTAACAGATACATTTCCTTTCCTGAAGTTTATAGCAAAAGCAAACGATAGCTGTAAACTGCAGCAGCCACATACAATACAGCAGGCTATTTATAATATATCTGATATCAGTACTGAGGTATATTCGGGAATCATTGTTTCAGAACAGCAGGATAACACAAAGTAAGAGAGTAAACGGCTGCTGTTGAGGACTGAAACTATATGAGAAACTTAAATGACCACATAGATTATCATTTTTTGTTTTTCCTGAGATGCTTATGGCTTGACACAGCACTGGCTGTGTCGTTTTAATTGGCATGTAAATGGCGTCAACTGTGTAAGAGTCTGCTTCAAAGCATACGGGGTAACAGGCTTTGCTTATTACAAAAACCTTTGAGAAGTCTGCCATCTTTTGTTTTACCTGAACAGGTATCTGAGGCAGCCTTGTGCCCAAATTCCCCTTCTCCACCTTTGTCTGAATCCTTATTCCTCTCGGGAAAAGAGAGGGTTGGTCAGATAGAAAAATTAGCCTGAAATCCAATCACCTGCTAGGTATTAGATCAAAAATATCTATCCCCCTCCCAACAGTGGGCCATTCATGTAAGGTCTTCGGCTAATTGAAAAGCATCCGGGATTGAAGCCCCTGATCCCCAGGACCAACCACTCCTGTGGAGCCGGAATTTTATGCTTCTATCACAGAGCTTTATCCATTTTAAAAGGTCAGTGTTTTTTGTCCTTTTAGCCTTTGTGGGGGGAGGGTAGGTAAAGAGGAGTTGTTTACATGGCAACAGGGAAGCTATAAAGAAATGCTCCACAATGACAGCTCCAAGGATTATCACACTGTGAGGATGAGACGTGAGATTCAGGCCTAATTTTTAATTAAATAACGCTAAAACTCTGAGGTTGAAGCTAAAGAGAAAAAAGAAAATGAACCAATAATACAACAAGCAGACAGATGGAATCCACAAATCCACTGGTGTCAATAAAACCGGATCAATTTCCTGCTTGAGAAGTGTAAAGTTCATGGCGAAAGACGAAGGAATTTAGCAATAAAGCGGCATTTGAGAGGTCCTCCCAGTGAACTACCAGCTCGGGGATTGTGGTCGGCTTCCTGGGCCAGTGTGACTTCCCTGTCATGTAATAATACCATGGGGTATTACGGCAAAAACAACACTGGTTATGAAAACTTCATGACTCAACAGTCTATATGAACAACAACCCAGCCCAGACACGAGAAGACCCCGCCAGGATGCCGTCTGTGGGCTGCTAACTCTGTGCTTTTGGAAAAAATGTGTGGCGGGCGCAATGCTCAGCACTGAGTCATCTGCTAGGCTGAAGCAGACGCATCCCTGACAACATGAACAAGTCAGAAGAAACAAGGTGTGCAAGGAAATAAGCTTCCATATGTTTCTCTGCTTGTGGGAGGGTTGACCAGATGTCAATCTTCAAACAGCAAATGGTTTCCCAGCCCAGAGGAACATTATGTGTTCTCCTGTAGAACAGAATTCCGTCCCAAATCACTTGAAAAACAACAAAGCGGGACTTGATTATGACAACTGACAGCCCTTTTGTCCCAGTCAGCCTTCTTTTGTTTGTCTCCTTCACTCAAATCTAATCATTAGGAACAAGGAGGAGTGTGGGAGGACAACATACAAAAACCCACTTAGAACATTAAGCCTCCTTTCTGGGTGTTTAATCCAATGAAAAAAGAATGGAAAGCCAACTTAATATTCAATTGTAGATATGCAAGATTCAGGAGCCCATTTAAAGAATAGAGAAGGATGAGGATGAGGATGAGGATGCCCCCCGATCTGCATAAGATCCATGAGGTCCACACCCATCCATCCATTGCAGTCATTGTTTCCATTTCTTCGCCACTTTAAGATGGGGGGGAAAAAAATCAAAGATCGAAGAGGAAACAGAGGCAAACAGCTTTTCTTACCGTATTTGGGGTCTGGGTTTTTCTCCTCCGGCTCCATTCGCACGCGCTGCTCGGCTCCTCGCTGCTGATCGAACCTTTGGACAGGGCGGTTACCATGGAAATGTCGAGGCGAAAAGCATCAGTAACCCAGCCCTGGCCGCTCCGGCCGCAGATCGCGGAGCATTCGAACGCACACGGGCTGAAAGGCGCATTCCACTTTAACGGAAGGCGGAGGCAGCCAATCAGAGGGCGAGGCTGGGCGAGGTGACAGCCTCGGCAGCCAATCCCAGCGCGACTGAGCCACTATCGCGTTTACTGCAATGGAATGTGTTTTCAATTGTCATGATGCGTTTATAATGACTTTTAAATTGATCAACTTAGTTACAAAAGACTTATCTGTTGTTGGGGGTAAAAAGTCTACTATGGACCTCAGTAAAAAAGCAGGCGATGCCAGAAAAAAAACATTTATTTAAGCACAATTTCCACCAGATGCCAGTTTGATATTATACCCACACTGCCATGAGGAATATATTACCTCTGCCCTGCTGAGTGGTTTAAATGTAATATATATAATCGTTTCACACAAAGAAAAATTGATCCGTCTTAAATGATTTGCTGAATCAATACTTATATGCAAACATGTCCGTACAGGGGCCCTGTGAGCACTAGTTTTAATATGGCGAACCCTCACCTTAACCACCCCCCACTTCAGAATTAGGTTGCCTAATCAAAGAAAAAATGTGCAATCATACAGTTTGGCATTTAGATAACAGATAGCATGATAGGTCTATAACATTTACGGACCTTGAAATGTGTTTTATACTCTAGCTTCAACTCCAAAAACATCTATTGTGCTCTCCAGAGAACTTGTCCAGACTCTGAGGCGTCTCTGTGTTGTTAAACAAACGTGCCGACCTTGTAGCAGAGAGGAGAAAATGCTCGCAGAGGCAGACATTGGGTAGACACGATCCCATTGCTTTATCCGCCTCACATGCCTGATTTTGCTGAAGCTATCAGTGACAAAAGTGTCAAGTACAAGTTTCTTGGGAAATGTATGAATAATTTAGAGGGGTGGAAATTCAATCAGGTTTCTTTTGAAAAACACAATGGCTCATGCATTTCTCTAAACAGTACGTCAAACATATTATTTAATACATATAACAATTTTTGGTCTTTTTTTAAAATGAGTTTTTGCAAACATTAATTGATCAGGGAATAGAATACACATTATAACATGTTGGTGACCCTCCAAGCATTTTTACAGTCACATACGGACACATAAAAACAACCAAACTTATCAGATTAACCTTTTTTTGCCATTTTTTCTCATTTGTTATTTAAACTGTGTGTTGCGCTGGGATACCAGGTCAAGTTCGTGCACTCTGTAGATTTGGCTAATAAAGAGATTTCTGATTTCTGAAAATGAGAAATATGACAGAGTAAGCTTAATGTGTGAGATGTTGTCACACAATGTTTCAGAAATGCTCTAATTTCCCCAGAGACACACAACAAACACGTTCAAAACAACAACCAAGATCCACAAACAGTAAAAAGGATCACAATGAAAGACAAAGATCCTCTCACCAGCACAGGCTATGAGAAGATACATTTTTTTAAAAAAGGGGTGGGGGGCTCAATCAATTACAAGCAACACAATTTCAATAACAAAATATGTAACAACCACTATGACAGTACACAACAGCAGAGAGACTTAAAATAACCATGAGACAAACAACAAAAGGAAAAACATAACAGAATAAACCCACAAAGACAGAAAAGAGAAATAAAAACAGAAGTCTAACATCCACCAAAAAGGCCCATAAACAGCCTAAATCACATGGTTTCATTAGTGAGAACTAATTGATGTTTCTAAACTTGGAGATTTTAAATGTCTAATGTTCATTATCAACAATCAAACAACAAATCTGACTTTGGCTCTTTTTGGGTCCTGTTTGGTAGAATAGATTAAATCCATACAACTTTGGGTATTAATCCAAATTGAGGTGAGGCTCTCCTTGTAGGCCTGCCTTTGATTGGGAGGAGACCCTGACCCTGACAGGGATTGGTCCAGTTTGACCCAACTTTATCACCTCAGACAATTAGTTTATTTACATTGATTCTTATGGATAACACATTTACTTAACCACAGATTCTGATTTTTTTTGCTTTCCCTCTTCTAATTTTTGACGCTTTAAAATGACTGGGTTGGTGAATCCTCTGGCCCCTGTGTGACTTTGTTTATAGTTATTTACAGGCTTGAAGATCTGCAATATTCCCTAATTTAGCGTCCAATGAGCTGGAAGGCGGGGAGCCAACACCCCCCACACCCACCGCTCACGTGAACGCAACTTTGATTTAGGAAATCCTAATATTTGGTTCGATCCCTACAATAAAACATGATCATACTAAAAGCGGCCCAGGAACTTTAAACTTGTAAGTTATCAGGCGTTATAAATGTTTCCTTTCTGTTTGAGATGGTCAAAGTTAGTTGTATAACTGAGGAGTTGCACAACTTTGCTCCGCTTGGGTTTCCACCTCTCGGCTGGGAGCTGGTCACGTGGGCCTCGTTACGTAAAGCTGTTACGTTTCAACCGGCAGAGGTTGTTACTTAAGCAACTTCTCCAGCCCAGTCGCAGCTGAAAAGTTATCGGATCGCCACTTATCCCAAATCCACCGACAAGAAAAAAAAGGTACAGAACCCACGAATACTAACGCTGCTTCCCTGAGTGTTGTTGTTTGGGGTCTAAGTCCCTGGCAGTGCATGAAGAAATCCTCTCAGAACAGCTTTTATAATGCATGAGTGATCAACAGGATACTTGTTTTTATGGCTGAAAATAATATTAATTGTGTTCTTAACCTAATGAATGATCACATCAGAGCCTTAATATCTAACTCACCTGCTGGAACAGAGATAGATCATCTCCCAACTGCTGCTTTCATAAAACTGGACATGATTAATTGAGGACTATTAAGGCTCACAATGCTCCATATTTGTGAATCTTGACTGTATCTTTAGGCCTAACTTAACAATGTGCAACGTTCTGTAAATGTAGGGACTGATAGGGACTATTGCAATTTTTAAAGATTTCTTCCGCTCTTCTTCTGTGCTCAGAAAACTCGCCATGGCCCTCAGAGGTGCTTTCTCACGCCTGCTCACCAACAGCCAAAAGTGTGTGGCTGTCACAGCCTCCCGAGCTCAGGGCACAGCTGCTGCGGCGCCCAAAGGTACGCCAGGAACTGTTGTCTTTAATCTGTACCACTCAGTCAGTGGGGGGGGGAATCTGAACCCAGGGTTTTTGTGTTTTCAAGATGAATTAGAAATTGGTTAAAAAGATCATTTTGGCTCCGATGATGCGTAAACCGCTTGTGCTCTGTGTCTTTTAGATGCCGAGGAAGTCAAAAAGCCAGCAAAAGCACGTAAGCGAAGCTCTCTACTGCTGACTGTTCTGTTTGCGGCCCCGGCGGTGACATAACCGTTATGTGTTTGCTCTCTCCGACCCCTCAGCCAAGGTGGCCTTCAACTGGCAGGACGCTCTGGATCTGGAGGGTCAGCTGACAGAGGAGGAGATCATGATCCGAGACTCCTTCCGCAACTACTGCCAAGAAAAGCTCATGCCCCGCGTCCTCATGGCCAACAGAAATGAACGTGAGCCAAACCGTGTCCTTAAGTGGGAGGGATTAACTCAGATCCGTTACACAGCTCACGTCACTGAAGGCCTATGATTCTGATCTTGCAAAAAAAAAATCTGCTCCGACACACAGATTTCCACCGAGAGATTGTTTCAGAAATGGGAGAGCTGGGTGTTCTCGGCCCGACCATCAAAGGTAAAAACCACCGGGCCTAAACATGAGTTTTCGTTACGCTCTTTACTAAAATGCCTCCATCTCAGGCTTCTCTTGTTAGCTGTATGAAAACGCCCAACGTCCTGTTATAAGGTAGAGGATCATTTTGAAGAATCCCCTCTCTTGTATCCGCTGCAGGTTATGGATGTGCCGGCACCAGCTATGTGGCCTACGGTCTGATCGCTAGAGAGGTTGAGCGGGTGGACAGCGGATATCGGTCTGCCATGAGCGTCCAGTCATCTCTCGTCATGTACCCGATCTACTCCTACGGCACCGACGCCCAGAAGGAAAAGTACCTGCCCAGGCTCGGTGGGTTTTTATTTTCTTTTTCTACACGGATGTGATCGCGGAAAAAACATGGATTTGACGTGAGTTCCTTATGTTTGTGCAGCCCGGGGAGAAATTCTGGGCTGCTTTGGCTTGACCGAGCCAAACCACGGCAGTGACCCCAGCGGCATGGAGACGAAGGCCAAGTACAACCCATCCAGTGGTACCTTCTCCATCAGCGGAGCCAAAACCTGGTGCGTAGACAGACCCCTGCAGGGGCACCGGACTTTGATGACGGAGAGTTTTCCCAAAGTTCTTAAAATGGAGCAAATATGAGTGTTAAAGTACAACATTGGACCACTAATTGAGACTGTAAGTGATCAAAGTAAGACAAAGGGGTGTCTTACTTTGGTTAGCAAAAAGGTTAAATGATTAAGGTAAAGCTGTTGTTCATCCACCATTGGTATGTCTGGTGTGTGAAAATAAGTTTTACAAAGAGATGTCGTAACTTGTAACAGCTGATGAGGGGGGCATCTTCCATTTCAATCAAACTGAAACAATCATCAGATTTTTCACTAAATTCTCCCTTTCGCTCCTTCCTCCGCCAGGATCACAAATTCCCCCATGGCGGACATCGCGGTGGTTTGGGCCAAGTGCGAAGATGGAAGAGTGCGGGGCTTCATCTTGGAGCGTGGAATGAAAGGTTTCACCACCCCTAAAATTGAGGGCAAGTTCTCCCTGAGGGCATCGGCCACCGGAATGATCGTGATGGACGAGGTTGAAGTTCCCAATGAGAACCTGTTGCCCAAGGTCTCAGGTCTTGGTGTAAGTGACACCTCTCTGCTCAGATTTTGGAGCAGTGATTGACGATATTAAAGATGGCTCTAACTGTTGTCTCGTCCAATCAGGGTCCCTTTGGTTGTCTGAACAACGCCCGGTATGGCATTGCCTGGGGGGCTCTGGGAGCTGCAGAGTTCTGCTTCCACGCCGCCCGACAGTACACCCTCGACAGGTGTGTGGCATCACGTCTAAAGGATCAGTCCACAGACGATAAGATCAGAGGAGGTTACGGAGCAATACTGAACAATGGAGAGCTCAAATATTCCCTCTAACTTTTTCTTTTTGTGACCCAGGATCCAGTTCGGCGTGCCTCTGGCCAGGAACCAGCTAATGCAGAAGAAGATGGCGGACATGCTGACCGAGATCACAGTCGGACTGCAATCATGTCTGGCTCTGGGGCGGCTTATAGATGAGAAAAAGTGAGGGATTCATTTTCACCACTCCTTCCCGGCCTTATCGTCTTTTTGGTGTTTTCTGCCCACAGAGCTGATTTGTTTTTCATCCTTACAGAGCGGCGCCCGAGATGATCTCCATGCTGAAGAGGAACAGCTGTGGCAAGGCCTTAGACATCGCCAGGCAAGCCAGAGACATGCTGGGAGGAAACGGCATCTCAGACGAGTACCACATCATCCGCCACGTCATGAACCTGGAGGCCGTCAACACGTATGAGGGTAGGCAAAAACACCGACACACTGATGGTGAACAAGGCCTTTACACTTCATGTCCAGTTACATCAATTCACCACTAGAGGTCAGCAGAATATAGCAGTTTTACTTGTGTTGACATCCATATTTTGAGTGATTTCATCTGCATTAGTTATAATATGGAGATGGTCTCACGCCACTAGCCTCACTAGCCCCCATTAAATAGTTGGTGAAGAGTAGCTTTAGAAAATATCACTTTATTTTCATAGCTACTGTATATATATATATGTGTGTATATATTTTTAATATATATATTTAACTGCATTTATGTGACAATAGCTTATTCATTATTGTTTTTTGTGTTATTCTTTATAGGAACTCATGACATTCACGCCTTGATCTTGGGCAGAGCGATCACCGGACTGCAGTCATTCACAGTTGAAAAGTAAATGTGTCTCCACCTACTTCTGAATAAACACGTGTAATTTATTACGAGCAGTGCCTGGTGCCTGGATTAGGAACGAATACTGAATTTACTGCCTCTGTGTTTTTCCATTTCTTTTCTTTTTTTTTAACTAAAGTTTTAAGGTCAAGCTTAAAACCACTTTGCTCAAATATGATGTTTTTATTGTGTGGTTAAAATCCTTCAACTGTGCTAAACTATACATATAGGTTGGGGTACTATGAGCTGAAATATTTTGTGATTATTTGAAATGTAAATAAATAGCTTTGAATGAATGGTAATTTATGAGTGAGTGCAGATTAAATACTGTATATAGAGATATCACAATTTCCATTGGACTGATAACCTGTTAAGATGGTATAAGTACTTCATACTGAGGACTGCACATCCAAAGTGTGGTATGATGCGGATGTACTGTGGAAACTATCATAATACAAAATAAATAGTAAAATGTTAACAGATCAGAGAGGATAAATCCATTCACTTCTTGTTTGTTGTCATTTTATTTATTAAGATAACACATGCTGAACTGAACTTAAAAACATGAATTCAGCTTTGTTTTATTGTTTTAGTCATAAGCAATTAAACTAAACTAAAGGGTCAAGGGTGTGGTCACAGAGAAAGAACAAAAAAACAAAAATTGGAGAAATGTCGACATTTACTCATAAAACCTATCATTAAATATTTACTTCTTTACATTCAATCATAAAACAAAAGGCCGACTCTTGGAGCCTTTCACATTAGAGTCGTTTATCAGAGCTCTGATTGCTGACTGCTGCCTATACCCTCCCTGAGACCCGCCAGGGCCTGACTGGCCTCCAGGAGCTCCTGGTTTAGTTTGGAGCAGCTCTCCAGCACCTCAGACAGCTCCTGCAGTTTCAGCTGCATCTCATTGCTGTTCTTCTCATACACCGTGTACATTTGCTCCTTCATCTGCTGGCACATCTCTGTCACCTGTGGGAGGGGAATTAGGCCCACCGAATATAAAGGCAGCCGTGTGCAAAGGGTAAAATGAAGGAAACGTTCGTACCTTCTCTATTATCTTCTCCTGAAAGCTATCCATCACTTTCTGGTCACTGGTGCGGCTGTGGTTTATTTTTTCCACCATTTCCTGGGTTCTTCTGCTGATGTCATCAATGCTTGAGCTGCAGTAGAGAATTAATTAAATAACTGAAGTTAAAGAAAATGTAACCAATGTGTTAAAACAACAGAATTACTCAACAGTTTAGCAGCGGGGCTTATGAGGGCGCTTGGGTACCTGCTGTGTTGCTCTTTAACGTCGATCACGACTGTGCCAGAAGAATTTTGTCTCGATGAATCATTATCTGTGTCCTCTGACTGCAAAATATTGAGCAGAGCTGGAAATGTATCCAATATATCTAACAACATAATGCCCGACATACACTGTTTTAACATAATCTTAAACTAATGAGAGTGAGTTTGAAATGTATGATGGTTAATCCAAACTATTTGGCCACATTTTATTCTCAGATGGATACGATGACAAAACGATACTTCCTTGCCTAACATTGTCTGGATAACTGCACAAAAAAAACTAACAAAGTTGTGATTTCTTTTTCTCATAATATGATCACTTATTACCATTGTAGTGTCTTCATGCCCTTTTTTTGGAGTGGACACAGAGGTGGAAGGTAGGTCCTCAAAGAAAAAGTCCATTTTGGTCGGCCTTACTCTGCAGAGCTGAATCCGAGACAATGACAATAATAGTTGAATATACTAATGATAACAGTATTCATAAGATTCACTTGTCTCCACAAAACCCTGAAAATTCATTAGATTTAAAAATACAGCCTCACTCCAATTAAAGTCAAGTCCAGAGGCAGCTCTTTAGATACTAAAAGAATTTATCATAGAAATGTAATCATTGATGGAGATATAGCCCAACCGTTCACTACCAAGCTTGGTACCAGGAAATATTTACATTTCAGACGGTTCAGCAATTTCATAAACATTTTAATCTATGACTCAGTATTTATTAACACCATAGTATTTAAGTTAATCAGCATTTTAATGCAACTGACTAATTAGTGAGAATTTTTCAACTAACTTCCACAATTTTAGCCACTCCTAAACAACATCTAGAGCTAACCTAGCTACAATAGCTAACTGCTAACAAACTAAACTAACTGCTATTTTAGCACCGCCATTGAACCTTTGTTACATATTTTAAATGTCAAATATAGCTATAAGAAATATATACAGTACACTGAAGGGTTAACATTGCAACATCAATGCTTTAAAATTAAATTCACCAGCTAATTCGGCCATTTTAACACTAATTTGGCTAATTCTGCAGTAGCTATCAAGCTAATATGAGTGCCATACCAGCTGAGGTCGTCATGTAGCTTTCCTATTATCAAATGTGATGAAACCCCAAGATGTATGTTAAACTACATAGTTAAATTTCTTATAATATTTAGTTAGAGGTTAGAATATGAAGAAGGTACCACCTGGACAGCAGGTAAAAGGTGGAAGGAACTCAGAAAGAGTGATTTAAGTATTAAGTTAGCTCCTTACAGGTCCAAATGATTATTGTTGGGCAAAACAAATAAATTCATTAGATGTAATTAGGATTGTTTTTATAACAGTTTGACAAATTTATTCTTCAATAGATGTGATATTTTTAAAAAAACTGTCAGATATATGACCAGAAATATAAACAAGTCCCATTAGATCTCTGATAAGGCACATAATCTTTTAATTGGCCATTTGTCCAACTGTTAAGCCTGATTAACGTAATATCTTTGTATGTCTATTACTCTTTCAAGGTAGTAGCTTTTCCTCCTGGATATTGCTAAATCAACTTTGAAGATGGTCTGATCTTCACATCTTTATGGACAATTGAATTGTTAAAGCTAGCTTTTTATCTGGTTTTCTTTTTTCTTTATTATGGATTAGTCCAATAAATTAATGAAGTCAAATTTGTTGTGAATAAATGGAAACTTTGAGGAATTTAAGTGTAATTAGAATTTACTGTACATTATAATTTCAATTAATGATACAAAACACAGTCAGTTAATTTGATTAAATTCAATTACATTTTATTAATATAGCACCAAATCACAGCAAATATAATCTATATGCACCTCAAAGACACAGTAAAAGTCAGTACCATTGCAGTCCAATTCATTGCCATATATTCACAATTAGGTACATTGTGCATGGGTGTCATAGTGTCATAGTGGACCTTGCATTTGCCAGACTGTTGTGTGGATTAAGTCTTCTCTTGCCCTCTGTGCTCCAGGGTTTGGGTCGGGTGAGGTGCTGATTTATCGCCGAAGTGATCTGATCTAATCCCTTCCTCTCCCTCTGTCGCCATCCCTCTGACCACAGTCTGGATTATGTCAGAGCAGAGGGCACAGCGCGCAGAAGCACACATGCAGTCCGAAGCCTCCTGATGCCTCTTCAGCTCACTCACAGAAGGTTGGACTGATGATAATAACATGGTAAAATCCTGCAAGCTGCAGAGTTTTGGTCACATTTCACTTTTTCAGTTGTGGACCCTCACAGTCCCTTTGTGCATTTTTGTAAGAGACTACGCAGCCAGAGGAAAACTTCGTTTTGGATTTGCTGTGGAGTAACTCTTTGTCAGTGAAAGGAAATATGGAGATCTTAAACTACACAAATCCAAAAGCAGATCCGTTATACAATATGGTGCAAAAGGTGGAGCCTCTGTATGAGCAGTACAAACCCCCGGCCAGGGACATCATCCAGCTACCGAAATCGGTTCTGTACCTCGTCATGGCCGCCCTGGTTGTGGTTGCTGTGGCTTATGCTATCGTGGGTCACCTCATCAAGGATCTCATGCTGGACATAACAGGTAACTGAGTGTGACAGTGGGCTGCACAGCAGAATTCCTCTTGACCTAAGTATGATTTAATCAGGCTTTTAGTTCTGTGCCGTCTGCTCCCATTCATTAATAAAAAAAGTCTAAATAGAGGGTTTAATTGGAAGACACAAAGAATTTCTTTTTTATATTTCAATCTAATGTTCATACTGTTGTTTAAGGCTGATTATTTGTGTTAACACAAACTTAGAAGTCAGCAGTCATGAGCTTTTAGTCTGACAAAAGTGGGATTTCTAATGTGTGTTTCAGCTGCCTTAAGGTAAAAAATGATTATTCTAGTATTCTAGTTCAGGACTAAGACAACCGGCTTGGTAGAATTTTTATAGGGTTTTATTTACTTACAAACATTTGTTCTCAATCGGTCAGAAGTCAAGAATAAAAGATGCATAATTCTCTGAACAAACATTCTCTTGAAGATGTTTTGTTCATTGAATTTCTATTTAATAGGCTTGGATCTTGTCCGGTCCATGTTTTTTACTTATGGTTTGTTCATGGTCTACCTTTCTCTCTTTGCTCTCTGGGTTATCTGATGGGGGGAAGGGGGGGGGGGCACAGAAACAAATTACTGTATTCTCATCTCTCCTGCTTCATCCATCAACAGATTGCTTACTGGGTCCACTGGATGAGGACATGAAAAAAGAGGGAGAGGTGGAAGGGGTCAACCCTCTCCACATGCCACCCACACTGAGCCACTCCCACCCGAACGCCTTCCACGTGTGGGACCAGGACGACATCATCATCCCCCTGACGCCTGTCCACGAGAGCCCGCTGGCCAGCCCGCTGATGTCCGTCATCCCCTACATTCCCTCGTTTTTCCCGGCCGCCGTCGGCGTCAACAGCCCGTCCTACAATCATCCGCTCCCAAAGGAGAGCGAGGCGTGAGGAAACAGCAAGATCCCCCATCAATGCTGTCCATCGAATTCTGTTTGAACACCCTTCATCCATCTTCCCTCGTCTCAGAAGTGATTTCAACTATTTTTTTTGGTGAAATGTTTCACAAAAGTAACATATGACCTGTAGAGACTTTTTAATTTTCTGACATCTATCTGGAAACAGAGAAGCATTGATAAAAAAAAAAGCTCCTTTGGAACTGCTAATGAGTGATGCTTACAAAGGCAAGGAGCGCAGAGCAGACGTTTTTGGCACCAGAATTCGAGCAGGGTCTGACATATTCGGTTCGACTGCCTTCGCTTAGTGTTTCTCAGAGTGGATACGTGCCATCACCGTCTTTGTCCTGCCAAACTCAGACCATTTTCATTTTCAGACTTTTCTTATCTTAACCGGATATGACAAACTTCAGATAGAGTTTGGCTTTTGAGAACTTGTGACTGGATTAAATTGAAAATAATCCCCCCCCGCTTAACTCATGTTTGACCATTGAATGGAAAAGAACCTCAACAAACCACAATTTTGTTTAAATGAAATCATTTCGCCTGATGTTACTTATATGTAATATTGTGTAATATTTCCAAATAGGAATACACGAAAGAGAAAAGAGAAGTCAATTGGAAAAGAGATATGTTCAAAATATATAACATAGATAAAAGGTACAAAGGGATTTTGCTGACACAGCCCTATTCTGAGCAGGATCAGCCCTACATGCGAGGATAAAGTTAATTAAATTAGTTAGGGTGACTACTTTAAGACGTCTCTGTGATACCTTCTAAATTGGAAACCTTAAAAATAGAATGTCATTCTTCACCTCTTTGTTTTATGGCTCATAACCACAAGGAGTGACGAAAGCCTCTCTCTGTGAGACTTTGACAGACATGGTGTCAACGTGTAGCAGCGTTGATGCATTAGCGTTTAAAGGATCTATTCCTCAGATCACAGCAGTTAGCGTCCGAAATGGGATTATTATATTGCTCATAAAACCTCACAGATGACGCTTATTTTTCACCACATCGTGACAGATCACGTTCATTTTAGAGGAAAAGATTTCCGGCACGCAGAGTTCACAGAGTTTCAGGTGTTGAGAGTCTATTTAGAATCCTTCTTTTTCAGTTTTTGGGAAGCTGTCATTGAGCTGACATTGCTCATCCCATCTGTGAAATCCAGAGTGCCTGTATTTAGTGAGGGAACGAGATTAGGGTGAGAAGATTAGATGAGCTTAGCCTATAAAATGTCCTTTTATTACTTTTGAGCCGCAGAATAAGACGATTGGACTTCTGCAGCTCAATCTGGAAGAATGAACATCAGAAGGTTATGTTTATGGTCAGGCTGAATGAGAGACTTTAAACAGAATCCTGAGAAATTTGGGGGTCTAAACAATAAAAACTTGTGATGAGAAAGCAACAAAAGGACTGACTTGTGATTTTAATGTACCAGAAAACATTATCTTTCCTTTCTTGATTGTAAATGGAAGGTTGTTTAAAATAAATTGACCCAAGCACCTTTGTCTCAAGATCATTGCGGATTGTCTTCTCAGATAAGCGCAGGTAACTTCCTAATTGCATGTCTGTTGGTGGTGGCTCCTAGCTCCACATCAGCACAGCGGGTGATGCACCTAAAAAAACTGGAGTGGATGGGCCAGGATTTAACGTTTAGCCAGACGGCAAAAAGAAGCTCAGGCTGTGGGGAAGTTGTAAAGAGCAGAACGTGAGAAGGATTTGGACTTCCTCACGGAAATATAATAGAACGTGTGAAAATGTGGGTGAAATGTGAAGCCACACGTCGGTGTTGCAGAGCTAAAAAGTTCAGGTAAGTTCAGGTAAGTCTGTCTAAAGCATGCCATAAACTTCAAGACCTCAAGAATAAGGCATTACAGGCCCCTTTAAGCACTCACATAATAAATAAATCTGTTTTATATCGGAACGATTAGGACTCCAGTCACAGTGTGATGGTACTGTATATTTTCTGGAACAGAAAAATTAAAATAAGTTCCATATATCTATTTGTAAACCCTTTGGGCCCATCGGTGCACACCAGAGTCATGAGGCATTTTAGGATTAGCTGTTGTCTGCTTTTTTTTAAACGCAGCACGTGATAGGAGGATTACTCCAATTCAGATAAGTACTTTTGTACGGGAAATATGCAGCCCCACATTGGTGGCACTTAGTCACCATCGTGGTAGGTGTCTTTTAGCTCACTTTCTATATGTGTGTGTTTGTCATTAGGTGCTTAGTCCATTGTGTTTTTAGGACTGCTTTCATGAAAGAATATATAAAGCTGAGGCCAAGATATTTCTGCCAGAGCCACTAATTAAAGAAAAACAGTAAAGTAGCAAAGCTGCCGATTTAGATGACAAATCTTTGTTGATTCATATTGTTGGTAGTGACATGATTCTTGACTATTTCAAGAAGAATTTATGATGCATAAAAACCCAAAATGCAAACGTTCTTATGTGATGTAGTACGCTGTGTGGATCACATGGTCCAGGAGAAATGACTCACTGGGATGTAGCCTCTGGGTTTGCATAGATTCTAATTATCTGTGATGGATACTGCACGCAACCTGTCAATCCTTTCTGGAGGCCGCAGTGGATTTACATAAATCTCAGTTTTGTGATCCTCACCTGTGCCTTATCCTCAGATTACCTCTGCAAACGTCTTCGGTGTTGACTGCGATCCATTAGACCTGCTCTCGGCCCGAGGGTACATGACACCGAAATACCTTAAGTCATTCAGATTGGATCTGAGTGGCCTTCACCTAGTGTCAATAACCTTATAATAGTCTTAAGTTAAGACCATAGCGCACAAGGAAAAAAACTCTGTGCCATTACATCAATCGTAGATTAAGAAATTATAGTGTCTTCCTGCCTGGAGGTGGATTCCATAGATCTATGATGTAACACGTAAAGTCAACATATTTATCATATATCTTTGTTTATATGTGCAGAATAAGTTATTAAGGGTCTTTAAGATACTGGCTTACAAAAAACTGACTGTGAATCATATAATTATTTATTTTTTTCCCAACATGTGAGGAAAGGACAGCAGAAAAAATAGAGAAACAGCTGGTTCAGGGTCTCTTGTCTCCTCTCAGTTTAATTGTTTTTGGGTACACTGATAGCGTGCCGTCATCCAGGCTAATCCGTCGTTGGCAGGCCAGGTCGTTCTCTGGGACGGACAGAAAGAGCTGTGCCTCAGGAGGACTTTGTCCTTTAACAGACAGCCAGGCCATCATTTAAACCTTTTACAATGAGCAGGAAAGGGTCCTTTTCCATTTTTGATAAGTTTGTCAAGCTGTTTTGGTTCATAAAGATTTCCTTTTTATTTCAGCCGTTTATCAAAATGTTTTAAAGCAACAGTCGCTTAACGAACGTGAAGTTAAAGGGAAGGTTCCCGGATCTTTTTGGCTTTACCTCTGTCGTCAGTAGCTTGGTTAGGCTGCGATCGTGCTACTGATATAGCTGCAGAAGGACAATCAAATCTTTACCTTGAAAATCTGTCTGTGAGCCACTGAGGCAGAGTGAGGGCTGCCACCTTTGGCTGTACCTGAGAATGACTCCACATGCTTCCGTTCATCAGATCCCTACCGACCACACCGATTCACAGGCTTCAGTTTGTATTTAAGTTTATGAACTGTTTAAGATTCTGTCTGATCACTTGAAGTCTTTTTGTAATCGTATTGGATGATGGAAATATATTGGACAATTCCTAACGTGTGTGAAACCATAATCCTGCTGTCAAACCTCTCTTCACCACTGAGGACAATTTTTTAAAGCAGCACATTCTAGCCGATACTCTGATGGAGATTTTTTTTTTTTTTGCCTGAGGATAACCCCTCACTTTCATTTAGAATTCCTATGACCAGATGTGTGGTCATAGCAACAGCTTCTAAATTTAAATACTCATTAAATTGAAACAAGTCCTACCTGCTTAAGAGATTAAAGATGTAGTCCACAAGTTTTAGGCAACTATCCAATCATTTAAAATGGTACCACCTATAAAAGCTTCAATTCTGACCAACAAAAATGTTACTTTTTCAAATGTTTAAGCATGAACATTATGGCTGGGATTTAAAATACTGAACAGCCACAAATGGAATCTGCCCCCAGCCCAGCATTCACAGAGGCCCTTTTCATAAACTTTTCACAGATTCAACTCACAAACGGCTCCAAAGATCATGAGGCCTTCTGTAGTCAGAGATATGGTTTAAAATAGAAGCTAGGCTAATCCGGAATGACCGCAAAAGATCCAGTCTGAGATGTCAATATGTTGCACCCCTCAGATTAACCTCTAACCTCAACAGATGGGGAGGGGAAAAAAAAACAAAAAACAAACAAAATCTAATTTAAAGTGTTTTTCAATTGCCTGTAGCAGGCATCAACTTGTAAACCGAGTCCGACCAAACAAGACTCATTACTTACAAAAAAGCATTTATTTTGACATACAATAAAGTCACACGTAAAAGTAGATTTTTTAAAAATTGTCAAAAGCAATGAAATCTTATTCACGTTTTAAAAAGCAGGATCACTTTTGGTTCTTCGAAACCCTTTGCAGGTTGATGTGGCGTGCGGCCGGTCTAGTGACCGTTCCTCTGGGAGAGGACGGTGCGGTACAGCGAAGTGCCTTTGGCCTGAAAGAAGGTGACGGTCATCTTGTCCTTCTCCACCTCTGCGTGGACAAAGCCTCCCAGCGTTGAGGCCTGGCCGGTGAAGAACTTCAGGGAGCCTTTGGGGACGTGGTTCCAGTGCCGGACGTCGGCGTCCAGGAAGTTCCCGGCGCCGCTCACCACGTAGCCCACGCCGGACTCCTCGAGATACTGCGGGAAAAGAGGAGGAGAAGGGGGGTTAAAATGAGCCGGCGTCCAGCCAGAGCCGGCGGCGGGGGTCCGGTCAGGGGCCGAACCTGCAGGTTGTGGTCGTGGCCGCAGAGGTAGGCCGTGACGTTGTGCTTGAGGAGCAGCGGGTGGAGCCTCTGCAGCAGGCACTCCGTGGGGCCGTGCTCGGACACCGACCACACCGGGTAGTGGCCGGCCACCAGCAGGAAGTCGGCCTTGGAGCGGGCCAGCCGGTCCTGCAGCCAGGTCAGCTGCCGGTTGGCGTCCACCGCCCGCAGAGGCCCCCGGGGCTGCTCGTCCTTGTAGTCGTCGGAGTTCCCGCACAGCATGACCGTGTCCAGCATGATGATGGTCAGCGTCTTCCCCGTGTTGGGGATGTGGAAGTTCAGCTCGTAATAGTAAGAGGGGAACTTCCTATCAGGGGGGGAAGAATACGGGTTTAAACCTCCGACCAAACGTTTGTGCGACTCGGGGGGACGTCCGGGTTTTGTCGGCCGCTTACCATCTGTCAGATTTTTGTGTGTAGTCAATCTGAGCTTGGACATTCCCCAAGTGGTCATGGTTACCAGCAAGAATGTACCAAGGCACTCTGAGGGACTTTGCAGTATACACGGTCTCAAAAGTTTCCTGAAAACGGTGAGTTGGAGAGTACAATAAAAATAAAAAGCATCTCCTCCGGTCAGTTTTAAGATGAACCATTTCAGCTCAGAAATACCAACCTGGAACCGAGGAGAATCCACACTGTTGACGCCTTTGAAGTAGAAGTTATCGCCGAGGGCCAGAATAAAATCAGCTCCCATCTGCTCTGCTACTTTACTCATTTCTTTAGCCGTAGTCTTCTGCACGGCGGTGACGTATGGAGGATAAGGCACTCCCCCCCAGTCGCCAACAGCCAGAAACTTAATAGACGTCCTGTTTCCTGTAGGAGCACCGAGCAAAAAAAGAATGAGAGCAGCACACAGCAGACCCACAGCCACTCGTGTAAATACTTACTGCTGCTTCCCTTCAGGTCTTGGAAGGCAGCAGGATAGCAGTAGGTCACAGGGATGGCAGCAATCAGGATGGATAAAAGAGCGAATGCCATCTTTAAAAAAAGACACACACACACACACAGCCGCCGTCAACAGCAGACTGAAGAACATCTTAAACAGGAAGTATCACCGAAACCCAAAAATGAAAGTAAAAACCCCACGTGACCAGAGAAAGAAAAACAAACACTTCAGGAGGAACGTGTAACAAACACGGACCGTGGACGCTCACCGTGCACACCTGTGCTTCCTCTCTCCTTCCCCCCCAAACACACTGAGCAGCTACTGAGCATTTTTCATGTCTTTATGCCTATTGGTGACTCGTGATTGGCTGCAGCCTGACGCTGACACGACCAAGCTGGAGTTAATAGAAGCCAATCAATGAGGCCAGGTCTTTGTGGCTGGAAGGGTCAAAGGTCACCATTTCAAAGAGGAGCTCTCCCAAAAGACAGAAAAAGCTCAGTTAGGAAACCCTAAGATGAAAAAAAACTAAACAAAAACAAAAGTCAAACAGCCACAAATGGCTTCAGTAAGACAGACACAAGTTCAAAGGTTGGAGATAAGAGGCAAACCACTCACGGCTGATAACCGGAGGCTCGCGCAGGGTGACTCCGTCCTCACGCCGCTCTTCCTCCTCGTCTTTTATCAGAGCTCCAGGAGGAGAGGCGGCTGGGGGGGGGGGGGGGCAGCTGCAGACCACGCCGCAGAGGCATGACCATTGTTCACGCCCTGCCCTGACTCAGTGCTGGGACCCGGGGGTCAGCGGAGCCACGCGTGCCCCACCACGGTTATTATAGCTGGTGTCTGGACTCCACTTTTTCCACTGCAGTGTTAATCACCGTTTCCCTACCCACTGTGTCCCATCTTCCCCCCCCCCCCCCCATCGGGTTCCTGTTTGTTAAATAATCCCCAAATCCGCTGTTTATTTAAATAACCTGGTCCAGACGGGAGTGAACTGTGTCACAGGGCTGTAAGTTATAAACACTTCACTCCTCAAGGAACTTTTCTTTTTTGGATATTGTGATGTAAAAGCTCATTGCTGAAGTCCAGGATGCAGTTTTGAGGGGATTTTTTTTAGTCAGTTGATGAAAACCCCTTAGATCCATTCAGAAGTATAAGTCTGACTGCTCTCATAAGAATACAGATTTAATAGATTTTCATTTAGTTCAATTTAAGGGAAGATTTCAGGGATCAAACAACTGTAATTGAATAGACGTCAGGATGTTCTGTACTGAGCACAGTTGTCAAACAGGATTTTGGAGATCTTCTAACATGTTGGTACACGTCAGCCCGCATCCCTCCCATTTATTCATTCTTCTGCTCATTTCATTGCGATACAACATTAAAGGTGAAGAATCCCGTGGTGGAGTGACTCCATCATCTGCTCTGCAGCTTTTAGGACTGAGGCCGTCTGAATGTGTCCCCTGTCCCACTTTCCTCACATGGCCTCCTGTCTTTATTACCCTCACAGCCGGGCGTCCAGGCCCCGGCCGTATTGTGGCGGTACGCTCTCCTCCAAAAGCCTCCGGCAGCACGCGGGGACGTCCTCACCGATGTGAGGAATGTCTTTGGTGTTTTCGAGGAAACATCAACTCCAAAAGACTGTTTCTAATCATTCTGAGTTTCAAGGAAACTAGGAAAGGCCATTTCTGGAGCACATTATTATCATTTTTTTTATTACTAGAAATTGTGGCTTTCTTCTAATCACCTCTCATTCTAAGACTGCCCAGAAACGAGTACGTCATAGAGAATCCTTGATAACAGTCAGGACTAAATTATGTTTAACTGGGTAAAGCTGCTCGTTTCATGTTTCCAGACTGCTTAATAAAGAGGCTCAAAGCAGATGATCTGTAATACCATGTGATCTAATTCGGGATATAAGCTTTTACTTGCTGAAGTGAAATGCATGTATGGCACAAAGACGCCTTCCTTTGTTTAATGTCGAGCTCTGAATGTTACTCCCTTTAATCCTACCTTTGCCCCGCCCCTCCAAATGGACAAAAAAATGAACCACGCTGCAGGATTTACAGGACGTCTTGTAAAACTAAAGCAATGTGATAAAGAATATAAATACACACACATAACTAAAGTAATCTGTTGATAAAAATAAACCACAGAAGAACAACCATTGTGATGTGAAAGCAAAATTCTGGTCATTTTATAAAAAAAAGAAAAAGAAAGAAAAACCTTTTTGTGTTCTTTAAAGAAAGATTAGAGCATCTTCAATGACAGACTTTACCTCAAAACTAAAAGCAGCTTTAAATCAGAATCACATTCTGTTCAGGAACAAACACACAAGATAAAAACAAATTAACTCATTTCAACATACAGGTGACGGAGGTAAAGTAACAGACTTTGTGGACAAACAGCTGAGGGGGGGGGAGACTCCGGGGACAAAACAGCAAAATTCCAGTTTCAACGAAAACACCGACAAGTTTTCAAGTTCCTTTGCAGAAGCGGCCTCTCAGACCATCAGCGCCGAGGACTCTGGGTTAAAGGGTGGCAGTGTGTGTGTGGGGGGGGGGGGATCAGTATTGCGTGTTGTATCCCGAGTAAGAGCCCGAGGCCTGGTTCTGTCCCCCGTAGCTCTGGTACATGCTGTATCCCTGCTGGGTCGCCCACGACGACTGGTCCCCCCCCCAGCCTGCGTGAAGGGCCCAAAGCACACTTTAGACACGAGGGCAGCCCCCCCTGAAGGGCAACGGCATACACGATTGGTCCTTACCGTAGCTGGCGTACCCTTGGGCCCCCGTCACAGAGGTGGGATACGCTGTGCTGTACATGGAGTAGTCGCCCCCCTGGGCGTCGGCGGGTCCTTGGGTCAGCATCTTCTTCTTCTCGTCCCCGTAGCCGTAGCTGTAGGGGCTCTGCTGGTCGGCGGGGGGGGGCATGGCGTGGTAGCTTTCCCCCTTTGGGCCGCCGGCGCTCAGCACGGGGGGGGAGGAGTAGGTGGCGGCGCCCTCGGGGTAGAAGGTGCCGTAGCCGGTGCTGCTGCCGGCCGCCACGGCGCCGGGGCTTTTCCCCATGGAGCCGGCCGCGTTGTTGCCGTACAGTTTATCTGGGAAGCAGTTCAGAGAGAGCCTAAAAGTCAGACCCTCCTCAGAGCTGTGCGTCACTGGAGACTATCAACAAGCTAGTTAAGCAGATATCTGTGGTCACAGCTCCGAATTTGCGTTCCTACGTTTGTTCAATGGAGAATTCTGGCAGGAAGACGTTTAAATCATTTTACGGAATAATTTCTAATGTTAAAATTGTTTTTTCTTTTTAGTTGTGGCTGTCAGCACACACTGGAAGACGATTCAAATCACTGATATTTGGTGGGTTTTCAACATAAAAGAAATCCAGCAGTGTGTTGAGAGGGCACTCTGCATGTCTGGCCTCAAAGCACATCACACCAGAAAGCACGAGAACGCACACAAATATGTAAACAAGCATCTAAACAGCAAGCAAACAAAAACTCCATTCACAGCCTCTCTGCACAGAGCAGATAAAGGCGTCCAGATACTTACGGTAGCCCGATCTGCCGCTGCCCTCATAACTGTAGTTGGCTTTTAAAACAAAAAGAAGAAATTCTATTTAGTTAATGCAGATGTTTTCCATGATAATGTTTCATGGCTTGTTGGGCCGGCTGCACATGTGCCCCTTAGGCCAACGTCGAAGTAAGAGCAGTGTTCCTCACTCTGGTTGTAGCTTGGTCCCTGTGGAAACTGCTTGCCTCCCCGGCCCCGACCTCTGCCCCCTTTATTGGCTCCCCAGCCCCGGGACCCCGCGTCCGAAGGAATGCCACGGATGGTGCCGAACCCGGGGATGTGCTGTGGAACACAACGTTTACTCCAAAGTGCTCTGACGGTAACTTTGCCTTCTTTTCGGGCCTCTGAGGGCGACCTTGGTTACCATGTCTGTGTAGGTGACTTTCTTCTTTGCCGGGCCTTTGCTGGCGGTTGAGACTGCGGTGTCATCTGGGAACAGCTTCTCCAGAGCAGCGAGGGCAGCGTAGGCCTTTGCCTCTTTCTTATTAGAGCCTCTCCCTGTGAACTTCTGCCCATCGACCTCAACCTGAGAAACAGGAAACAAACGACATATTGCTGCTCGGGCTTTCCCGTACAAAGAGGATCTGTTTTGTTTCCTGAGTGACAAAAATAGTTGAAGAGGGTCTGTGCAAGTCTATTAGCCACTAAAACTTGTTGGAGTCGCCATGTTTTTATCTAGTGTGGCCATTAAGAGGGAAGGGGTGGGTGTCTTATCAGGCCCTAAAGGGCCTCATGGGGCGGGACTGATGTAGGATTCACTATTTCAGTGAGCGAAAAGTAAAATTGTGGTGGTGGTTTCCAAAAGGAAACTCCCCAGAGTCTCTCTGTTCATATGGGAACGATGTTATAATCCATCCAGTTTTACAATAGGCAGCTTTAGATAACAGCGGTACATTTACGAATGTCCTGATTTCACCCCTCAATTCATTTGACTGTCAGTTTACTGCATCAATCTTGTTTCTTTTCTCTCTGACGACAAACAGCCTCTTTGGACTTGTTTTTTTATTTGATGATACTGCTGACTCACCTCCATGACGAAGCACTTTTCATGTTTGGCTCCAGTCTCCGAGGACAGCTCGTACTTTAGGCTGCGGCGTTTCTCGTTCAGCTCCATCACGGGGTTCTTACCATTTTTGGTCAAGATGGGACCCTGCCCGCTCTGTGCACAGCAGAAGAGAACACACACAAATATTAGACGCACAACTATTCATGTCTCTTTGAAGGATGAATGATGGGAAGATGAGTGTGAAACCATGCGGGACCTTGGGGGCGGGAGGGGGACTCACTTCCTCCGATGAAACGGAGGTCGCGGCCGAAGCATCTGCCGATTTTTGAGTTCCTTCAGCATCACCGCTTGGCTCTTTAGACTCCGAGCCTGTTGGCAGACCAAGATCTTGCAGAACCTGACGATTAAAAAGGCAAAACAATGACTCTGGACCCTTGGCTGTAGGAAACGAGCTGTTATATCTATGTCATAAACGCAGATCCTACTTCTAAGCAGTCAGGGATGAGACACGGCACATTCGGAAAATCTTATGCAGATGAAAAGTAGTAGGTCTCACCTTAATTGCCACGTTTAGTTTGGCGGTTTTTTTAGAGGGCCCCGTTGCTTCAAAGGTCTTTCCATTGAGGTCCACAGCTATTGTGAAGACGGGCTCGTGGACTGGACCCGTCTGACTTGTGAGACGGTACTCCAGGCCCGGTCGGTACTGGTTCAGACGCATCACAGCGTTCATGTTAAGTTCATCAGTTACTATAAGACAAAAACACAAACTGTAAGCTATTTTATCCTGATGTCGTGCTGTTCTTCAGACTATGAATGGAATTCTATACTGACCGGATTTCCTCTGAAAGCGCTTCTGTAATTTAGGAAACTTCTTCTGTTTGCCGTCTTGTTGGGGATCCTCTTCTGGTTGGTCCACCTCTGAGTGGGGTCTCTTTGGTGGTGGGCAGAAGAGTCCAGCAGCTGATATCTGTGCTGTGTGAGGGCGAAAACAGAGCAGGCTTGTAGGTCGAAGTGTAAACAGGCAGGTGAAAAAAAATCCTCTCAGTCGTCTACCTGAGGCTTCCTTTCCGCCGATGCCCAAATATTTGCGTGGCTTAACGGGCTTGTTGTCCATCCCCAACACTTTGTGCATTTGGCCAAATGCGCACAGCCTCAAGGCGAGCTACACAAAACCTCAGAGTTATTTGGAGTTTCCTTTGTTGAAGGTTCCTGGCTGTAAAAGTGTCTGCGTGCTTTAACCTGAGCGCTCTGCGTGATGTCCTCACACTGCTGTACAGTCAGGCCTGCCATGGAGTCCATTTCCTCCTTCTCACACGGATCCTTCACACCAGGGCCGTCTTTAAAACAAACGCACAGAAATGTTGCAACTAACGAAAAAACTATTCTCTCGAAAAGCGTCATGTGCAGATGTGGACGCTCACCCTCCAGGAGGATTCCGGAGGCGACGCACTCCAGCACCCTCCGGAGAGACTCGCCGGCTCCCATTGGTCGGTCGGATGTGCTGATAGCCTTCTCCACCAGCAGTTCAAGAGGCTACAGCGGGAACAGAACACACACCTAAACGTGGACACCTCTCAACAAAGTCTTACACAATCATTCAGCTGAGTGAGGGGGACTGACAGCTTAGGAACCACAAACCTCCAGAGGTTTAATAAAACAAAAACAAGAAAAGAGAAAATTGTCCAAATAGAAATCTGAGGGAGAGGAAGGGCGGATCTCTCACCCATCCAGAGAGGGGACTCCAGGTGGGAACACGGTTACACAAATCCCTCATGACCCGGATCACGACGACGGCGCAGTTCAGGTCGTTGACTTTGGCCTGAAGACACAAAAGGGAGGCCCGCTCAGCCAGGGGGATGGGGGATGGGGGGCAGTGGCTTTTGGGGGTCACCTCACCCCTGTGCTCTCTGAGTCTCCACAGGAGCACAGGAAGGTCAGGACTTCTGAGCGGTCTCCAAGTCGAGCAGCGCTGGAGCTGGCCCGTGTGAGTCTGAGGCAGTCTGCACAGCGCTGCCGGCGAGGTGGAGAGAGCTCCGTCTAAAAGTCAACGCTTTCATCCATCCCAATGATCGATCCCTATCGGTCATTGGGATGGATCAGCTGGTCAGCCCTCCACTTTTTTTTTTTCCCCCACTCAAACAGCCAAAGTTTGTCATCTTAAATGAAAACTACAACAAAAAGAAAGAAGTACGAGCTCTTACTGACTCTAGATGGACCACAAACAAAAAGTGATCATTCAAGAAAACAGTTCAACCTCATACACAAATAAGGACGTGAATGCAAACCTGGAACCACTTGGCGTGGCGGAGAGACGCCAAGGATGTCAGGCATTTCTGCCTGTCCAGAACGTCCGGCGGATCGTTGACGGTTTGCGTTTCTACTGACGAGGTGGCTAAGAAGAAAAGGTACAGTTTGACCAAGGGGGTCGGCTCTGTCTTGCAGCTCAGGGAGTAGCAGCTCTTCCCAAACCACCAGCAGCAGGGAAAGGGGGTCCCTTCTATCTACTGTGTTTGTGTTTTTTTTTTCTTCTCCCCCCCCCAGTAAGAATATCGGCCTCGTCTCACTGATGTCAGCTAGCTTTTCCAAAGCGTGTGAAGGTGTGAGTAAAACCAAGCCCTAATTGCTTGGTACTGTGCTAGGCTAAACTCCCCTTTCCCTGAGGGTTCGCTGCTCCCCCCGCACCTCCCGAGACAGGGTGTCCAGTTGGTCAAAGGTCCAGCGTTCCTACAAAACTTGACAAACTATAAGGCAATCAGTTGTAAATCACAGGCATTTAGAGAAACCTCCCGTGTGGCCCGCGCTGCAGCAAAACTGATTCCTCCCTGCCCAAAACGTGGCTTCGGAACAGACGAGAAGCACAAAGTTTCCCATCACCGCTCCACAAAAAAACAGATTCACTCGTTTCAAACAGGTTCATTTGTGCTTAACCAGGATACTTGGTTACGTACAAGTGAAGGGACTAAAACAAAAACAACGAGCAACGCAAAGCGACATTAAACAGGAGACAGCTGAACGGCTCTTAAACGTTCAGCTGCTGTGGTAACTCCACCTGTCTATGAATATCGACACATGAATGAAGGTTTCAGAGGATGTTCATGCAGGACGCGGTTTCAATTCGCCTCTACTGATTTCAACTTGGAACGAACGGACATCAAACCTCCCGCTTTTAAAAGACATGGCAGACAAAGTGGAACCAAGCTTACGATAAACAAGCTACGTTTTGCTTTTTCCTGAATAATGCTGTGATGCACTGTATGATAGCATGTAAAAAAATCATTTAAAAAAGAGAGACAGAGTGATGGCTCATTGTGAGATTTGTGACAGTTGGCGTGTCTGGAGTGTGCGGCGTGTGCGTCACACAGTCATGTTTTTGTTCCGTGTATCAAAACAACAAAGACTTTCCTGTATGGAGGGCATTTCCAAACCTGGTTGTTTTGGAAATAGCTTAACAAAGAAGAAACCACAACAACAACAAAATGGAAGCAGCCGTTGACTGACTGAACGCGAGGCATCAATAACAGGTTCACAGCTCCGTTTCGTTGTCTCTGTATGACATACTTTTTTGCTTTTTAAGTTAACCGCTTTTCACATCTTGTCCGTACTCAGATTTAATGTTTTTGTGTAATTTTAGGCCCAAAGACTCAAAACAACACCACAAACTGAAAAAGTAACTGCAAAGTCACACATGTGAGGCTGTGCTGACAAAAACAACACCAAACAGGACAGGTCATGATGTTCTACGGTAAGCAGGAATAACTGAAAACAGAGACGTTACATCTTACAAAGACAGGTACATTTGCTCATAGCAAACTGCATCTGTGAGCATGAAATGTTCACGTGATTGTTACGGAACCACATGAGAGGCTCCACAAGCTCCCTGACCTTTAAAAGCCACTGGAACTGACAACATGTGAACATGGCTCATGCTGTTGAACACGGAATCTCCACACACAATCCACTCATCCGAAAAAACGTGTAAACAGGGAACGGTTTGGCTGCTTCCCCCTTTATTTAGAAATGTGCGTTGTTTCCCAATTCAATTTCTGTAAAAGGTAAGCCACTGAAATGCCCCTACTGCCCATCAGTTTTGCTGCAGCTGGCCCAAAATGTACATGTTTACCATCAAGGTCATGCAAAGCGCGCTTCGACTTGTTATTCTTGAAAGAGCCATCACTTTTTACATTAAAAACAAGAGCATACATAGTTCTTTTTGTGACTGAGGCTGTGTCATTACCAGCAGGAGCTGATTAAACGTGGAGTCTTAAGGAACATTTTATCACAAAATGACGCTAGGGATGAGCTAATTTTAGCTGGTTCTTCACTGGCACCGGTCTAAGGCTTTCTGCACACGCTCCACTGAGTTCTACTGATACACAGACCTACAATTTTGAGAGGCAAACCTCCTAGATTCCACTGGACGCAGCTGTTACGTGGCTGTGGATGTGGTTTGACCACACGTCGAGCATTTAGATGCAGTTCCCTGCTTTGCTAGCAATTAGCGGGCTAATTTCTTTGGGGGGGGAACAAATAACCAGGAAATCAGCGTTGCCGCATTCAAGTGCTGAAAAACACCTCTTTGGCATTTCAGAACCAGCACTAGCAGCTTCATTCGACGCGGGGCAATGCCTTCATTTTCTGGTCTAACATCCCAGTCAGCTGTCATGCTGCTCCTCGTTTATTCTGAAACTCATTAGGACTAAAGCTGTTCTCACATGTGCTGTGATCGGCATTGTGTGGACGGTAACTGCGGGAGAGGTTTGAATCCAACCTCTCGTCTTTGTACTTCAAAACACAGTTGAAGAGATTTTTCAGTAGGAGCTTTCTAATTTTGAAAAAGGAAAATAATGTCTAAAAGATGCTGCGGTGAGACGTGAGCGGCGCCCAGTGGAATTCCAAGGTTTCCATCAGTACAGTGTTGGGGGTCAGTGGAGCAGCACAGCGGCTGCAAACTGAGGACACAGAGCAGGCCTGTGAGAGCCGAGGTCCCCCGGGAAGCTGGGCCAGTATACGCACCTTCCTCCTCTGCAGTGTGACTCATCTGCTCTGTCCTGATGAGGGGGGACGTCAGGTGGATGGTCAGGGTCAGGACAGTCTCGCCCGTGCTTATCACTACTATGGTCGCTTCCTCCGGATCATGGTTTACTGTGTACGTTTCATCAGATATGACCTAAAGAGGGAAAAGAACGAAGAGACAAAACATCTGTAACAAATGAATACGTTTGTAATAATAAAAACAAAATGCTTGCATTCCTACCTTTAACTGAGCAGCTAGCTGTTCAGCCACGTCTTTTAGCAGAGTCACTGTAGGCTTGCTGGAACACAGCAACACCAGCTCCAGGTTCCTGTCTCCCGTCAGAATGAGTCCTTTGGCCACCAGACCAACCCTCATGACGCCACGTAAGACACGATCTTTTGAATCCTCCATCATGCTGAAAGAGGGGAAAACAAGGAAAGAAAAAATAATTGTTTATCTTTAACTGACGCAAAGCACTGCTACGAAAAAGAAAGATTCCTTTATAGATGATTTAAGTCGGCAGACCCAAACCTAAAGCAAACCAAATGCAGTATACCACTCAGGCTCAGTAGCGAGCCTACCTCAGTTCTTCTGTGTAGTCACTGGGATCACTTGGAGTATCGATTGTGTTAGACACAGTCTTCAGGGCACATTCCACATGGGAAACTATTCTCTGCACAGCATCCAGCTCCTCTGCAGAGGGGTACACTTCAGCGTGTTTGGCCATTACTGTGCGGTCGAGTGCGCCTGTGTGCTTCCGAGGGACCAGGGCCTCCTTAATTGAAAATAAATTAGGACACAAAATACATATTTAACAATCAATGAGTAATTTGAGATAACAACCTAATATATGAAAACTGCTGATCATTAAAGGAGAGCATTTCACTGCAACTGATCTTTACTCTAGGTAAATCTTTCATGAGCGGAACAAAAAAGTAGGAAGTAAACTTTAAGCAGCTACAATTATAAATACATGGAAAAAACAATAGACAGACGACACAACTTTGACTCAAGAGGAAGATCAAGCTTTATAAAGTACCAACAGAAAATAAATGTAATGGAAAACAATGTGTTTAGCTTAAATTTGGAAGAGGAAGTAGGCAAAATGTCTTAGTTTATCAAGAAGAAGAACCTCCATATGACGATGATCCTCAATACCCCCAATGCTAGTCATGTAATCGTGGTATTGTCTCAGCTCCTCCTCATAACACAGGCAGTCGTACCAGTAACGCAGCTCCTCGTATCTGGATGGATGGATTGAGAAAAAGAGGATCACTCTTAACACATCTTTCAATTTTCAAGTTAAAGCAGGATTCAAAAAGCATTAAGCAACTTTGAACAGAAAGCAAAACCATTAAAAGGTCATTTTACTCCCTGCATAATGAATAGTCCTCCTTTATTCTAACAGTTCGCAGTAAGCATACAGATCTCAATGAAAAGGCACAGCTGGTAACACAGAATTGAATGTATTTATCTTTGTATGAACATATTTCTACCAAAAGAAATAACACCAAACTCTACAGACTTCAATGGAAAAAACAAAACAACTTTAGAGGATGGACAAGGGTGGATGAATATACTGTTGTCTTGTATTCGCACCATCCTAATGAGTGTATATGTGGTGAAAAACTGCATGCTTTCAGAGTACCTATCAAAGTCCTCCGGGAGGAGTCGGTGGCCCTGTTGAAGCAGGCTGTCCCAGTACAGCAGCTCCTCGTAGGCCTGGTGTTCGTCCCACAAAGGCGCTAAAGGGGCTGCCATCCTGTAAACGCTGCCAGACCGAGGCCGTTTCCTGTGATAATATTGAAAATTCCAAGTTGAACCGGTGAAAACAAACTGTTACTGGCATGGAAACAGTGGGATCTGCGCAAGAGCTAGTCTAGGCTATCGCTAATGCGCAGGAAACTTGCGCAGCACGTTATTTTACGAAAAATTAACGACTTGTGCGTGATTGGCTGGGCTCCTCACGAGCTGAATGTGCATGTTTTATGCAAATTGTTCGGTAACATTTTGATACCCGTAAATTGAGGCGGGTAGCTGGAATAGTTCAAGACGGCTCATCTGTTGTTAGCTAACGTCAGCGAGCATGCCAGCACCACTGCACAAATTTGCTGTCACAACCATGAATTTGGCTAACCAATAACGTGTTATTGAGTCCGTATGTACTTTTATGTCTTACCTTCTTTAATGAACAATAAATTAAAATCTTTTGTGAGAAACTGACTAGGCTTTTAATATTTTCTTGTAGGTTTAATGGCCGTTTGTGTCCACTATAAGCAGGGCACAGTACATTTTCTTCTTCGTGGGAAGTCCCGCTCTGCTTCTTCTTCTCTCTTTCTAATTCCCAACATACACACATTCCGTACATACTGCCACCTGCTGGAAGAAGCTCCTCGTTCGATTGTTGTGAGAATGCCAGACAGCGTTTTCGCTATACTGAACGCCTCCAATTTAATCACTTAAGTCGTCCAATACGATTTCAACAAGTTGAAAATGAAAAAAGTTCACCTTTTTTGTAGGGTATTTGTGTCTTTAGGCGTATATATACAATTTAACATTTTAAACAACTGAACTTTTGGGGATTTCTTTTTGCTCTTATCAAAATTCATGGGCAAACCTCTAAAACTTGGACCTCTTTCAACCTCATACTACAAAACGTATAAAATATCTAGTCCTTTTTTAGATGTGACAGTTGCAAAATCATTACAATTTTTGTTCCTTCTAGATTTGACAATACATTCCTTTGGGGAGAAGTTAGAGAGCAGCCTGGTCATGTGTTTATGTTTAGGTATTTGGCAGAAGCTTTTATCCAAAGCGACTTACAAAGTAGGGAGGCACCCTGTCAGAACGGTGCTTTAGAAAATTTCACAGTGAAAATCCTTCTTTTGCTTACTTTCACACCCATCAACTTTCATATACAAATGATACCTGGCGCTCATGGCTCCTAAGTTTCTTGCATGTGACAAAGTTTTTGAACAGGGGCTTTTAGTTTGAGGGGAGCTTTTTAAAAACTGACAGTTGATCTGTCTGTGACTCACAGATAGAGAAGATTGATGAGATGAGAAGGGAGGGGCTGACGAATCCTGCTGTGTTTATGGCTAAAGTTCACTTTTCCAAAGTTAAGCATCAGACTCTTTACTTTTTTGCTCATCACTGTGCTTTGTGACAAATAACTCTTGTCTTACTAAACTAATGCACATAAATCATGTCAAACTGATAAAGGGTTCACATACAGACATACGAAGCACCACAGATGAAAATTAATATCTCAAGTATCTTCCTTTCACAGAAAAAACATAATACAACATCTTAATATAAAAACACATTGCACTGTTTTATTTACATTCAGTTTAAAGCTTTTTACATGTCCTTAGGAAACCGAGGGTGACATTCAAGTATCATCTTATAAAATCTTACATTATCTTCCTTTTGCACACAAAATTATGTATGAATTCAAAAGTACATTAACTCCACAGTATTTGAATATGAGCATGTCTTAATAAAGTACATTCAACAGAATACATAGCTTTAGCAAAACACTTATCACGCCTCTGGTTTGCTCCAGAGCTTCCTTTTGATGGTTATACTGATGCAGCTCACTTCTTCCACAGCTGACTCAACACATATAAGCACTGTGTAAGTAGGCCATTTTTATTTACTTTCAAAGCTGGTGTAAATGAGGCAAAGTGATGGAGCCAGACAATATTCTTTTTTTTTTCTTTTATAAATATCCTTTCTATAAACCTTAAAGTCCCTCAGATGTGAATATAAATTAGGAATTGTTCACTCATTTGAAATAAACATCACAATAACATTTTGTGCAAAATCATAGCAATAGCTAGCTTTTTCAGGTCGGACCCAAATCTCCTTGGTAAAGGATAAACAATTTAAAAGCAATGAAATGCGAAATACCAAACTTGAGAAGTCGGTAAGAGCCACCATCAAAGCCACATAGTTTAGTCCTTTGCATGCAGAGTTCTTAGAGTCTTCAGTGACCCAGTAATTAAGCCCATCTACACAATCGTAATGGCTCAGACTCGGTTGACTTCTTTCTTGTCGAGGCTGGGACAGGAGCTTTGCTCCCAGCGGCCTATCATGGTCCCCCTCATGCCTGTCTGGCACTTTGCAACGAGGTAGATTTTGTGGAGCACGGTGCGGCGCAGCAGGATGTAGACCCAGGGGTCGAGGATCTGGTTCCAAGCGGCCAACCGGACTCCCAACACCAACAGGATCTTGTAGTTGGGGAGGTTGTCCCCAATGGTTCCTGTGTAGGAGAGGATCACTGACATCAAAGCAAAGATCTGCAAACAAGAAACATTCATTTCTGATCAATTTCAGAGAATAAAAACAATTTTTCATGTTTAGCAGAAATAATCAATTTGCCGTAGCAGCAAATTTCAAATGTTTTTAAGACGTTGTGTTTTTGGTGACACAGATATCACGGATTGAGCATTTTAACATTTCCCTCCACCACAGTTGAGAATAATATTACATTAAAAGCAGAATGAGAGATAATTAAAAAAAGGCCTCATTTTGATTAATGTCAATTCTGGCAATCCAGATGGTTGCTGTTAAAAGTCACACACTTTTAACAGTAAGCAGACACAGCACCAGTCCAAAGTCTGGACACATGCAGTTTTACAAGCATTTTTAATGCATACGTCAAAAAACATTTCTTTGACAGCATAAATATTGTGTCACTTCCATTTCAAAAAAGAAAACTGCTGAAAAAAAACAGCTGCAGAGAGGTAAATTATGCACTCTCATGCTGAAATACATGATTTGATTTGTGCAAAGGAAACACCGGATCCCACTTGAACTATGGGTGTATATTCATGTATATAATTAGAGCAATGAAGTATAAGCTAAGGTCATTTAGGAAAAAGAATTGAACTTTTAGAGTTTTGTTCTACATATATAGCAGATGTGCTATATCTCAAGTAAATCAAATAAATGCAGCTAGACCAACGATTTTTCTGGACCAAACTTGGACTGAAGCAAAATTTAAACTTTCTCTAGAAAAATTCTTACTTGAAGAATCCCCTAGTTAACATTGTGTTTAAAGTACTTTATATATATGTGTGACTACAAATGAATCCAAGCACAGCAATGATGGAGATTTCCTCTGACCACACTCACATATTTCTAAGAAAAGAAAAAGTTTGATCTTGCTGTTGAGCAAGTACTTTTGTGAGTTTTGCTAGAGAAAAGCTACAAAGACCCGAAAGCTGTGCAACACAAATCCTGTATCTTTTTAAAAGTCATCCCCATTGTACTTGCTAGTACTCACCAGCAGAGGGCACCAGCAGATGCAGGAAGTGACCATGACACCGACCAGCTGCACCACCATCTCTATGTCGTGGGACCTGGCCGAGTGATGGGAGCCGGGCCGCCTCCGGAGCCGGGCCAGCACCAGCGTCAGCCCGCTGACCGTGTTGCACACCAGCGCCACGGCCAGCGAGGTCAGGCCCAGTCCAGAGAACAGCGCCACGAAGGCCACGTCCACGCCCCGGGTGTCGTTGAGCACGTTGATGAAGCACCACGTCCCCGGCTCCTGGTAGGTGTAGGAGCCCAGGCGGAGGCACGGCAGCAGGGCCACGCCGAGGGCCGCCAGCCAGATGGCGGCCAGGCAGGCCTTGGTCCGCCTTTTGGTGACCAGGGAGGAGTGCAGCAGCGGCCTGGTGACCCCCAGGCAGCGCTCCGCCGCCATGGCGCAGCCCATGAAGAGCGGGCACAGGCCGAAGAACACCATGCAGCCGCCCAGGAAGCGGCACATGCCGTCGGAGGAGTCCACGTTCTCCGAGGTGGTTCCCTTGGTGAGGTAGAGGTGCAGGACCAGGGCGCCGGGGATCACGTGGCCCACGAAGTCCGTGATGACCAGCGAGGTGGCGAACAGGAGGAACGTGGCTTTGGAGCGCCGGCGCTGGAGCGAGTACGCGTTCATCAGGATGAAGAGGGCCACGATGTTGGAGACGATGCCCAGCGTCATGGACAGGATGACCGCCGGCTGCACCGAGTGACCCTGCTGAGAGTCCCCCTCGCCGACCAGCCGGTCCTCCGCCCGGCCCCCGCTGGCATTGGCCGCCCGGGGGAGGAGCGGGGGGGCCGAGGAGTTGCGGTGGCTCAGGGCAAACATCTCTTCACGCCAAAGCCCGCGGGGTCCATGCCTGAGAGAGGCTGCAGGAAGGGATCAGAAACACGCGCTTCAGAAAGTGCCAGAACAAATAAGAGCAAATCTCATTTAGGTGGTTCACATCAAAAACCCATCTAGGATGATCGGTGAGGTTGAAAACCTCAACAAATTAGGGTAGAATAAAGGAGATAAACAACAACAGCAAATAAACAAAAACAAAAAAAATCATCCAGTGTAGGAATTTGGGTAATTTAGTCAGCTCCCTGCACCAAGCCTCAAAAACACCAAACCAGGGATTTAATTCTAGAAGAATGTTTTTAATCTATCCAGCACTGAGGTTTGAGTTTGGGTTTGAGCACTTCCACAAACTAAGAGTTAAACCCAAAATGATCATCTAACATGGCTTTTGTTTTTTTTCAATCCACCCTGATGAAAAATGCAAAAAGTTTGACCACAGTGGAGTTAGAAATTACATCCTGCTATTAAAATATAGATAAACTAAAGATAATAATTCCATTTAAAAGGCATCCTCTGTACACAGCTCAAATGGACCTTGGGGCTCTTTGCAATGGATATATGCTTGCAGTATATCCTGTTCTTACAGAAACATTTTTTGGCATTATAATTATTGCATTATCATTACTTTAGCTGGGAAACTTGATTATTTAATGTGACCATAGGAGGAAATCGAGGAAAGGCTCACCAACACAACAGGTCAGATCCACTTCTCGGTCCGGCTAAATGTTTCTTGGAAAGCAAATAATCAGAGATCCTCCATGCAGCGCGTCATTACAATAAACTGAACAGTCCGGGAACAGGGGGAAGCAAAATAAGTCCTTTTCATGAAGCTGGGAAGTCATGTTTCTCCTTAATAAAACCCAACGGAACAGGGACGGTGGAGGCTTTTGCGTCCTTTGCGCAGCGTTTTCCAGTCTAGGTGGAGCCTGTCCGTCTCATGGCGACCTGCCCGTGTGAAGGATCCCCACTGAGGCTGGAGCCCCGTGCGGGTTTTTTTTTTTATAGCTCGCGCGTCTTCGACGTGCGCGTGGGCGTGCCTGCAGCTGCGCGCGCCCTGGGCCAGGTTCGCGTCCGCTGTGCCGCAGTCTGTCCACAGGCTGACCTGTTTTCTGTCCGTCACCCACAGTCCCTCCGCCTGAGATGTTTTTGAGCTCCTGGATCGATTTGAACAGATTGGGTTGCATGCTGTGCGTTATTTATATATTTATTTATTTATCTATCCATTTGCTGTTTCAATAACAGCTGAAAATAGCCCCTGGAGTATCCGTTGTCCAGAAGTCTCCGGTACATTATGGATGGACTGTGCAGCGGTCAGGAGCCTTGAGTTTAATTGATCTGAATAAATGACTTCAAGACAGAGACAGAGGCTTGGCCAAACAAATGACATGTCAGAATGCTGAGGATAAATCACACCATGGCTGTTTTGCATTTGAAGGTCACTTTTAGAATGACTTATTCTGTTAAGAATAAGAAAACATGGAACATTCCCTCATTCATAAAATGTTTTCTTTAATTTTTTTGGCAGTTTGAATGACACTGAGAGGGCATTTCTGCAGCGTTCCTGCAAACTGTGGACCACCTGGCAAAGTGTGAGCGTTCCTGTACAGATTATGGTTTGGAAAACCAAAGAAAAAAGAACAAACTTAAAAACGACATTTCAAGTTAGCCGTTGGCTCAAGCACTGACACAAAAATCGGTTGAATTCTTTTAAAGACGGACACCTGCAGGAAGACCTTTTATAACAGCTACAAGGCTGCCTTATAAAGACATGGACACACAGTCAGGTGGCCCCTTATAGGTTAGCGAAGCCTGGAAAGGACGGAGGTTATTGGGAAAAATGTAATGCGGCGTGACCAAATTATTATAGTTTTTCGTCTTCATGCTGATCTTACATGCATGCAGCCTCAGTTTTTGAGGCCGTGTGCTGGGAATGTCTGAACTGCACTGAGTGGAATCTCATTTTTCCATCATTCCCAGAAAATGACATTCAAGCAGAGAAGTCCAGTGCCATTAGGGTTCTTTCTTTAAAAGGATATGCTAAATTAAAAGGCAGATATCCAGCTTTTTATATATTAATTTTAGCATGATTGTCTCTTTGTTTTTGGACAGTTTTCATGAGAGAAAATGAAGACGGAGAGAAGATTAATCAAAGGGTTCTAAGCTGGCGCTGAGTCCCAGCACAGCTGCAGCCTCCGGGGCACCTGCTCATCCAAGTGAGCTCACCGATGGCCCGGTCAACTTTTTCCCCTTTAGACTGCTGTTAAAGGACAACAGAGTTTCAATAACAAAAAGGAGAACGTGTAAATGAGAGTTGTAGCTCAGGGTTCAGATTCAGAACTTTAACTTCACCATTTTTGCTTAGATCTCTGTTTCTCTTTGCATCGTCAAGTGAAACCCCTATATGAAATGCCTCAAAATGACAAAAAAGAAACAACAAACAGAACAGATTCAAGACCCAGGAAGCATTGGCCATACAAAGTCTAGTTCCAAAATGTTTTGGCCCTACACAAAGCAGATTTGAAGAAGTAGCTCTTCCTGTGAAAGCCAGTGATCACACCTGAGCAGCAATAAGAAGCCAATACTGGACATATCTAAAAAACCCATTTGAAAGGGCTTCTTTCAGTGTGTTTGGTTGGTCCTGGACTGAATTTCTACATCTGCCACTCTTCTTTTCCTGGTTCCCTTTTAGTGAGTTGAAGTGTCTGGCCGCCGTGCGTGTTTTTCCTCCAGCTCCACACGGAGACCCCGTTGCCCCCATTTTCCACAGAAATCCCTCTTACAAGTGATGCCATTTGGCCTCTGGAGCCCACTGCCTCATCCAATAATAAGTCTGGGGTTTATGATTTTGAAGGTCCTTCTTCATCATTTCCCCTTCTAATCAATGCAAAGTGGGGGAAAGAAAAAACCTGGGACCGCACCCTATGATCTCTAAGGCACCCTGAAATGCAATAAACATGGTTTCTCTTCCTTCTAATGCAATATTGAAGAAGAAAAAGTCTTTTTTTTTGGTTGCATCTTCATCCAACTATTCTATCTTGGCTTGTAGGCTCAACACTCATCCACCACAACTGTCTGAGGGCTGGTCTCGTTGCCCTTTCTGCCCAAACAGCACATGCCTTGATGTTATCGATTCTTCATTTCTTGCCATCCCCATCTTTAAAACCTGACAGGAGTTTGGCGTGCGCTAAAATGCAAAATCGGATTTTTGTTTCCATTTAATGCAGCGAGGAAACGAGGTCCCGTGGGAAGAAAAAAAACTTGTCCCAGTCACAGTGAGACGGTATGATGTCATACCCGTTTACTCAGAGGTACCGAGGGGAACAGTGATGGGCACATTTGTCTCAGGCCTGGTAGTGGAAGTGGAAATCCACACACTGGGTCTCGCTAGGCCAAAAAAATGAAACGGTGGAATGTTCACATTTGAATATTCAGCCGAGAAAAGACAAACATGCTGTCAGAGACAGAAACAGTCTCAAATGATTTAATGTGACGAAACACACACGCTCTGCCGTGCAAATTGTTTAAAAGCTCTTGTCTGACGGTGTGGCTGGACCCCAGATGCCAGTCTTAATATTTGGCTACTTCTTCAGCCGCTGCATGTTTCTAATTCTGCAAAGAAAGGGAGCGCTGACTGTGCCCCGAGAAACCACACAATAACCACAAGGATGAGTACACAAATGCTCACAGATGTCATTCCAAAATCTAGAGATTATGACCGATTTTACGTCCCCTTCAGTGATAAAAAGATTTTTCTTTAAGTGACGCAGATTTAAAGCTAAAGGTTCTTTCTGTAAATATATTTTTTCCTGTGTGGATTTGACAGCCTGTCGAAATCTCCTTCATTTCAAGCTTGAACTTCTTTTTTTTCTAAATCAGCTCAAAATTTCAAGAATTTTTTCATTTGATCTGTAGATTGGAATAAGTCCAGTACTTGAGACAGCCGGGCCTTTAGCATTTTCACCGTTGTGTGTAAGGAACAGACACATTTTATTAGATCAGAATAATTCAGGATAACACTCTCTTTATCGTGGCCAGAGAGCTCCGTCCAGTCAAGACACGGTCAAAGAGACGGTCAATTGGAATTGGCATTGCTTCGAAGGGATGCTATTAGATCTGGAGAGGTCAGTCGAACACCTCAGGCTCTTCAATATACTGTTTACTCTTTCTCAAGCTAAGGCTTTGAGTGGGTTTATTGCTGTTCACTTTCCCATTGGCCAGTGGTCATAATGTTTTGGCTGATTACTGGGTTTTAAAACAGTGAAATCATCACAAAGGGAATTTTTTGACTTTCCTGAGTTTTTGGAACTGAATGAAATACGATTTCTCCACTAATCTAACATAGAAATCTAAGAACAGGGAGACTGGACCTTCTTTTGAGAAGGAAAAGAAATAATTTCGTGCCACAGCTCCATAGATGTAGCTTTAAAAGCAAAACAGTCTTCCCTCCACAACCTGATTATATTGCATTATATTAATTATGTGAGGCGCGACTTGTAGAATATTCAGTAAAAATCAGTATAGACATGTGTGTATTCTCATTGTACAGCAGCCCTGAATAATGATTCCTACCACGTTTCCTTAAAGAGCTTAGAGAAACCTTTTTTTCCTCATTTGGCAGATGTCTTTTACCTCATATATCCAGTATAATATCACCTTTATGCAGAAATCTCAGATAATGAACACACAAATAGACAAACAGAAGATCTGAACAGTGGAAAGAATACGTAGGTGGAGAATGTCTATTTGAGATTGAAGGCAGGACACCAGCATTAATAAATCATCAACTCTGACATATAAACATATTACAGGTTTATGTGAGTGCTGCCGAGGAGGCCCAGTCAAAAGTGCACTTATAAAGGAAGAAATGATAAAGCGAGATGCTTGGTGTGAATTCAGGAAAGCTTATTGTCTGTGCTTTACGTCAAGATGTCCATTATTTCTATCTAAATTATACATAAGGGCGTGGGAGGAAGGCAGATGAATTCTGGCTTGCACTGCAAATCCACCTCCATCGAAAGAAAAGAAAAGGAGAAAAAGAAAGCAAACAAGTCTGCACCAAACGAGTCAGCTCTTTAATTCACATAACCGCTAAACAGTCATGGGAGCTTTGCCAGTGTCTTTTATGCCAAACTAGAGTTTTCACTGTTTTGAACGCATATTTGGAAAGCTTTCTCGACTCGCCTCCTTTTAAATTCCAAATTCCCCTGGAATTACCCCTAAATCAAATAGGTTTTTATGGCTCTACAAACTCATGTTTTCATTAAACATGCTGAATTTGCTCAGATGTCCGGGACGAATTCACAGTTTTATTGCTTGTAGTTGATTTCCTCTGATGTACAGTCTTTGGATTGATGAACATTTGGGCCTTGACATGCACAGCGTGCGATTCTAAAGATCAACACATATTCTGACCTGAAGACTGAAATCCCTTATTTAGGAGTGAGTGCTAATTCATCCCTCGGTTCTAATTTTTCTTTCATGCTATGTATATATTTAAATATATTTCTTTGTCTGATTTAATAATATTCTATCACTTGTGGTCCAAATCTCCCTGAAAAAAATAATTATTAAATTCACAGAAAGGGCTGTTTTGCTAAATTGACTCAAATACATGTATGTGTGCTTTGACAGTTGACCTTTGGGATACTTAAATTCAGCTTAATGTTCATAGCTGCCATGAAGGAGAGGATCTTTGACGGTTTCTGAACGTGAAATCACAGGACCTTAAAACTTCCTCTCCGGTTTTCTTCGTGGGGACAAAAACTGTAAAAATGTTTGTGGCTTTTTCTCCTCACAAATCTTTTTTTCAGGGTAAAAACAAACGACATTTTTTCCCATTAAAAAAAAAAAAAAAAAAGCTTTACATCAGAAGAAAGTCTGCTCAGACTGGCCCAGCCAAATCGAGCCGTGTTCTGTCAACGCTGTGGCCGGCGCACATGGAAACTCTGGCTGTCTCCAGCTGTGCTGGCACATCTGTCTGCCTTGTGGTAGGGTTAGGAACGGAGGCCTATGGGCCGAGACAGATCATTTAAATTCACGGAGGTAAATCATTTTTAACGCGATTGTGAGGAATGCAGTTGACTCTTCTTATTTTAAATGAAGCAGGACTGAAAACAACTGAATGGG